TGCTGTTCTCTGGAGCGCTGCGTCTAGTTGGGCGCCCCTTTCCCTTTCTCCCTTGCTTTTTGCTTTCTTTCTTTTCTCAGCTGTTTGTGAAGCCTCCTCAGATAACACTGCCTGCTTGCATTTCTTTGGGGTGGTTTGGTTCGCTGTCTCCTGTGCAGTAAGTATTACAGCCCCTGTCCATAGTTCTTAAGGTGCTTGTTTACTGGGTCTCACCCCTTGAATCTGTTCTCTCTTCGTCACCTCCATGTATATTCATAGGGGATTTGAGTTAAGTCATACCTGACTGGCCTAGTGGTTTTCCCTGCTGCTTTTAGTTTAAGCCTGAATTTTGCTCTGAGGCGCTGATGGAGTGGATTGCCATTCCCTCCTCCAGTGGGCCCGTTCTGTTAGAAGTCTGCCCTGTGGCCCAGCCGCCTCGGGTGGCCTTACACGGCACGGCTCACGGCTTCACTGAGTTGCACAAGCCCTTTTGCCATGACGAGGCGGTGGTCCTTGGAGACTCCTGTCAATAGCCTTTCTTAGTTCCTTGAGCATTTTCCTTCTCTCCATTTTGAACTCGGTGTCTGTTAGGTCTGTTTCATGGTTGGTTCTTTCTGGATCGTTTGGGAGCGCTTTCTCTGCTGCTTCATCCTCTTGCTGTGTGGGGTAAGGAGAAACCGTACCTACTGCCGCAGGAGCAGTCTTGGAGGGCTGTTTATATGTGGGCGTGTCCCTGTGTAGCTTGTGTGGGTTTAATGTGATGTGAGGACTGTTTTTATTTTTTATGGATTTGGCTGCATGGGTCCTAGCTGTGGCGTGCAGGATCTTTAGTTGTAGCACGTGGGGTCTAGTTCCCTGACCAGGGACTGAACCCGGGCCCCCTGCATTGGGGGTGCTGAGCCTTCACTACTGGACAGCCAGGGCAGTCCCGGGAGGCTGTTCTCAGTACGGGCGCCTGTTGGCTCTTTCCCCTGCAAGTGCTGGGCGTTCTCCCCGTGACACAGGGGGTGTGCAGATGCAGTGGCTGGTGCTGGGTCATGGACTTCTCACTGGTAGTGGTAGCTCATGTGCAGCCCAGAAGCTTTGTGATGGGGTGGAGGTAGCGCATGACTGCTCCTGGGGGCTGGGAGGGAGTAGCCCGCAGCTTGGGACTGCTGCTGCAGCGAGGGGGGCGGCAGCGACTAGTGACCGCTCTTGGAGCTTGTCCTGCCGCCCGCAGCCTCACGAAGGAAGAACGGCTGTGATGGTGGGGCCTCCGCTCCCCTCGCGCGCCCCGCACAGTGGTGCCTGCGGCTCGGGATTCCTCCTCAGAGGCCATCGGGTGTGGTCACACCAGGCTGCGTGCACACAGCACCCCGTCCTCTCCCCAGGCCGCTCTGCGGGGGTGCAGAGCCCTCTGGTCTGGAGCAGTCAGCACCGACCGTCTGAGCAGGCCTGTCTGTGCTGACCGCTCCAGACCAGACCGTGTTCTGCTCTGAGGCTCTGACGCTCCCCCTCCGTCCTCCTGGCCGATCTCCGTGCTGGTGAGGGCGCTTCCCAGCACGCAGGACCTTTCCTCCTCCACAGCTCCCTCCCTGCGGCAGGTCCAGTCTCATTCCGCGCTTGCTTGCTTTTTGTCCTTCTGGGTTACATGGCGATTTCCTTGCCCTTGCGGAGGTCTGAGGTCTTCTGCCAGCATTTAGCAGATGCTCTGTGAGAGTCCCTCCACATCGGGATGTATCTTTGATGCACCTGTGGAAGGAGGGGAGCTTCACGCCCTGGTGTTCCACCACCCTGGATGGCTCCTGTATCACACAGTCCTTTCTATCACACAGACCTTTTTATCTATTTAGGGAATTCTTGCTCACTCTGGGATAATTAAATATATGGTCTTTTGTTAGCTCCTAAAATTCTTATATGTAAATCTCTTGTCCACCTGGGATTTAGTTTTGGTATATGGTGTTATATTCACAATTTCTATGTATCTGTTTCTTCCATATTACATTGTTAACTCTGTTTTTTGAATTTATCCAGTGTTTTTTGCTCATTATTCTTTTCCTCAGACCTTTCATGGTGTTCGGACCTACTTCCTCTTTCAGTGGGACTGTGGATGGGAAGCTTTTGGTTTTGTCTAATCCATCTTTATTTTGAGAAGTTTCTTTGCTGGGTTTAAAATTCCAGAGTTGCAGTTACTTTCTTTTAAGTGCATTGAAGGTGTTAGTCTACCAATCTTTGGCTCCTACTATTGTTAGGAGCCAAAATTCAAGTGTCGGTCTTTTTTTTTGGCCTCGCTGTGCAGCTTGCGGAGATCTAGGGATTAAACTGGCATCCTTGGCCATGAAAGTATGGAGTCCTAAGCACTGGACTGCCGGAGAATTCCCTGTCAGTCCTGTCATTTGTTACTTTGTGGTGATCTCTCCTCTGTCTCTGAGTGCTTTTAAGGTCTCTCTTCTTTGGTATTCTATTTATCTCAGGTGTAGATTTTGTCAGGCTTCCTGGAGCCGAGGCTTGGTATCATTCATCACTTTTGGGACATTCTCTGATACTTTGTGTTGAGAGTCTTCAGATACTGTCTCTCCCTGTTTCCCAGCGCTTCTGCACTTTTAATTACATATTATTTTCCTCTGCTCTGCATAAGCTCTCCTGGTTTCATTTCGTCGGTCTGTGCTCCTGATAGTTCTACCTTTTAACTGCCTTGCCAGCTTTGTCCACTGTTCGGTTGATCCTGGTTTTTGTTTTAAGATCTGTGTGTCTGGTTTTTCGGCTGTGGTGGATCTTCGTTGCTGCGCGCGCGCTTCCTGTAGCTGAGGGAGGGAGTGAGTGGCGCAGGCTTCTCGCGGTGGTTTCTCTCGTGCACGGCAGGGGCTCAGCGCGCCGGCGGCAGCGGCTGAGCTCTCAGCACTTGTACACGGGCCTGGTTGCTCTGCGGCACGCGGGATCTTCCTGGACCAGGGATCACACTGGTGTATTTGGTTGCATTGCAAGGTGGATTCTCAACTACTGGATCACCAGGGAAACCTGGATCTTGATTTTTTAATTTCAATTCTTGTATTTTTTGTTTTTAGACATTTTATTTGGATTTTTGGATATCGCCTTGATCATTTTTTAATATGAACTTTTTAAAAATTCTGATTTTAATTTTTAAGGTTGAGTCAAAATCATTTCCCCCATTGTTTACCATGAAAATTTTACCCTCATCCATTAGTATATTAAAATACAAAAGACCTTGTGTCACATGACCTTGCCAAGGGTGCAGATAAAGTTCTACTTTTTTTTCCTTTCATATTTTTAGTTTGCTTTCCTTACCTCACTACGATGTTTAGAACCCACAATACACTGTCAAATAGAATGAGTGAGCATGGGAGTTGTTATCTTTTTCTGTATTGTGGAAATTATGCATTTACTGTTTCACCATTAAACATATGCTAGTCGGAGGTTTTTCATTGATAGGTTTTTCAGATTAAGGAATTTATTTTCTATTCCTAGTTTGCTGAGGGTATTTTTTTTTGACTGCGCCACACAGCCTGTGGGATCTTGATTCCCTAACCAGGGGTTAAACCTGCACCCCCTGCATTGGAAGTGTGGAGTCTTAACCACTGGGTTGCCAGTGTTACGACATTCTCTGAGAGTTTTTATTTAAAAATTGTTGTTGTCAAATACTCTTGCTGTGTCTGTTAAAATGATGATTTTTTTCTCATTTATTCTGTCTGTATGGTGAGATTTTCCAAATGCTAAATCACCTTATATTCCTGGCCTAGTCTCTTCTTGATTATATTATTTTCATATTGCTGAACCTGATATGCTAATTTTTTGTTAAAGAATTTTTGCATCTGTGACCCACAAGGATGTTGGCCTAAAATTTTCCTTTTTTAATGTTTTCTCATATTAGGGTTAGGATAGGGTTATGCTAGTCTTGTAAAGTAGGAGTTACTCTGTCTTCCTTTATTTTTTGAAAGTTTATGTAGAGTGTTTGTTTCTGTTTTTTCTTCTCGTTTTTTAAGTTGAACTGTAGTTGATTTACAATGTTGTTAGTTTCAGGTGTACGGCAAAGTGATTGTTACACACACACATACACATTCTTTTTCAGATTGTGTTTTGTTCTAGGTTATCACAAGATATTGAATATAGCTCCCTGAGCTGTAGATTAGGTCCTTGTTTATGTCTGTTAATCCCATACTCCTAATTAATCCCTTCCTATCCGCTTTCCCCTTTGGTTACCATAAATTTTTTTTCTATGTCTGAGTCGTCCTTTTTGTAGAAGTTCACTTGTATTATTTTCTAGATTCCACATGTAGGTGAAATGAATTTTGTCTTTCCTTGATTATTGTGATAGTCTGTGACTTACTCTGTGTTTTGATACCTCTTAAGCACACTGTGCATGCTTATTGTTTTATCATCTTTACTGGAATTTTCAATCTTTAAAACTTGGCAGATACTGTGTGATTTCTTCTGGATTCTAATTCTTGGTGCCTAGTTTTGACCACAGAGGTCCTGGTTCTTTACCTGTGAGGAATTATTTGAAGTCTGAATTGAAGATGAATTTCTCCAGAGACAATTTGCCTTTGATTCTAGGAGGGACCTGGAGGAACAGTTAGCCCTGGAATCAGTTTAAATTAAAACCTCCACAGACTTTTCAGGCGGCCTGCTTAGCGTGAATCCTGGCTGCAGAAGGGGCACGTGACCTCCTGTCACAGTCCCCATTCCACCCCACTCCCAGGCTTTTCAGAGTCTGCACAAACTGAAGCCCATGGATCCTGCAGTTCCTCTGGTGTCTTAGTTCATAGCGGGTTTCAGAGCTCCCGTCACTTCTCTGCTTCCTGCTTTGTACTGGATTGTGACCTTTGAGTACTCCGTAATCTTTTGGCAATTTCTCGTTGCACTTTGAAAGATTAATCCTGTCTTACTCCTTCATGTGTGTTTTCAGCAGGAAGTTTCCCCCGTGGGCACATTTGCTTATCTGTCGTCTCTAGTTCCGGTGCTTGGTGCTCAGGGGGCAGGGAGGTGGTGGTGGGGCCCGTCCTGACCCGTGTCTTGTTTTCCAGCTCTCCGGGAGATGCTGCATAACCACTCCTTTGTGGGCTGCGTGAATCCCCAGTGGGCCTTGGCGCAGCATCAGACCAAGTTATACCTTCTCAACACCACCAGACTTAGGTAAATTGGTGCAAACATGAGAGACGTGGAGCTGCTGGGAGGGTGGTCTGCAGACAGAGGCAGGAGAAGCTGGGGAGAGCAGGGTGACCGTCAGAAAGGGCCCAGCCTCAGAGTCAGACACGTGCGGGTTCTCGCCCAGGCTCAACCGTTCACCGTTTATGTGACCACGGCCAAGTCACTTTGATAACTGAGTCTCGGATTTCTCTTCTGTAAAAGAGGGGTATCACTTAATTCACAGGGTTTTGTGAAGGTAGAATGACGTGAGACCCCTGGGTTTGGTTGGCTGCTATGAGCCGGGTGTTGAGAGCGTGGAGCTGGTGGGGGTGTTCAGCCTGGGTGGTGGACAGCAGGGGCTGCGGGCTGCTCTGCACCGCCAGCTCTCCGCTGCTCAAATCCAGCTGACTGGATTTAAAGCTGGGATCAGGTCCCGTGACGCAGGGGCGGATTGAATTCAAGTAGTGGGGGGGGGGGCCAGAGGTGAGAACCTGGGAGATTCTGAGGGAGAACCCGCTCCCCCCCCCTTTATAACAGGGCACCCCGCTGCACACAGTGAGAGGAGGGGAGATCATGTGGGCCTTGGCCTGAGCCAGCGCGGCCTCCAGGGTGGGGAAAGGGAGAGGCCCTGACACCTCTTTCCTTTCAGCTTTGGGGTGGAGCCAAGGCCTATTCTAGCCCCGAAGAGCCAGTGGGGTCCACGAGCATGGGATGGGCCAACTCAGCAGCCGCCCTTTGCCCAGCATGTAGCCGATGACGTTTATGGTGGTTTCCAGGAGTCTTGGCGGATGAGCTCCTGTTGAGTCTAGAACCTCTGTTAAATATGACCTCGAATCGGTAGTTCAGGTGGGCGGTGCTGCCACCCTCCATCCCTGGACACCGTCGCTTGGCCGTCGTGGGGCCCTGTCCTGCTGAGGCCTTAAGGTGTCGCTTGGCCCTGAGTGGGGTGACCTCCCTGAGCTAGAACTGCCCCACCGGGGAGCTTACTGCCGGCACGCCCCGGCTGTGGATGCTGGCGACTCCTTCCTCCTAGGCTCGGAAATGCTTGGTGAGCTCAGCTCAGGGCCACTGTCTGTCTTCAGGAGCCGTGGGCTCTCCCAGGGAGCTCTTACTGGTTATTGGGGATCCTGCTCCCTTTGGTTTTTCTTTGCCAGGAAATCTAACTGCATGATTTCCAAGATCCCAAATCACAATTGTTTCGGTTCTTTCACTTTATGATTACAAACCTAGGGCAGTCCTAGAATCCTAGCTGCTAATAAATGTGAAGTTTCCCAGCGAGCATGTGACCCGGGTGAGAGCAGGGGTTTTAGCCTTGGCTCCCTCCCTCCCCGCCGACTGACCGGGACCAGCCGGCGGCTCTCCGGGTCCCACGGTGTCCCTGCTGCCGCGCTTTGTCTATGCTGATAGCCAAGTCCTTAAACAAGACCTGTGTGGTGCAGATTTCTTCCATAACTGTACAGTTACTTCAATTGTTTCTGCAGGTAGTTCAGCATATTGTACACTTCGCAGCCGCCTAAACCCCCCCCCACCCCGAGTCTGTCCCCTGCTGACTACACGGGAAGTGCCCTGCCCCCCGGTACAGCCCATACTTCTAGATGGTGGGTGGTAAAAGAAATGGCTTATATGATCCTTTGCCAGTGGGGAAAAGTGAGCACAGACTCCTTGACTTTGTCACCAGTGGGTGTCAGAGTCTGTCCCCTGCTGACTACACGGGAAGTGCCCTGCCCCCCGGTACAGCCCATACTTCTAGATGGTGGGTGGTAAAAGAAATGGCTTATATGATCCTTTGCCAGTGGGGAAAAGTGAGCACAGACTCCTTGACTTTGTCACCAGTGGGTGTCAGAGCCTTTTACAGCCAGAAAGGTGGGGACAGCGTGCGGGTGATGGCAGGGCAGACGGTCTCCATGCTCTGAGCGGGTGCGGACGCTGCCTTCCTGGTGGTGCAGATCCCAGGACTGCTGGAGAGGCCACCGCGAGGCAGTGCATCTTCATCCCCACCAGGTCTTGGGTTCTTTCTCCCGTTTTGTCCCTGCCCCCTGGCTCTCAAGCAGATTTTGCTTTTCCTTAAAGTCACTTCATTTTTATTTTCAGTGAAGAACTGTTCTACCAGATTCTCATTTATGATTTTGCCAATTTTGGTGTTCTGAGGTTATCGGTAAGTTTATTTCCTGCTTCTCATTTCTGAGACTTCAACAGCTGGTCATTTCTGAAAACAGCCCTACCCTGTTATCTTATTTGTTGTATAATAAGTGTTTCTAAATGTGATTAGAATAGTTTATGTATGAGTTTCATATGGAAGTATCCTTATAATAGTTTTATAGAAAGCAGAACAGTCATTTGGTAGCCTTATACAAAGCAGAAGTCATTTGGTACCCAACTTAAATGTTTATTATTATAGAAACTAATACATATCTACTTAAAACTTAAGAGATAGAAGCAGAAATAAACATTCTCTAAAGCCCGTGACCCAGACACAACCCCAGCTAACAATTGTAGTCCATTTCTTTCAAAACCTTCTCATTGATTGCCTAATTTTAATTTAAAATTAAAAATCATGCTATCCATGTAGTTTTGTATCTTCTTTTTACATCTGACATACAGAAAAGCCCTCTGAAATTTTTATTGGGATTGTGTTGAGCCATACTATAGATCAATTTGGGGAGAAAAATCTCTCAGTTTATTTCTTAACAGTCATAATTTTTGGATACTATTGTAAAAGGCATTTAAAAAAATTGTCAGTTTGTTGCTATTATATAGAAGTGCAAGTGTTTTGATAATTCTATCTTGCAACCTTGTTAAACTCACTTATTAGCTGTAGCTTTTTTATTGATTCCAGCAGATTTTCTAGGTATATGATCATAGCATCTGTGAATAAAGACAGTTTTATTCCTTCCTCTCCAACCCATTTGCCTTTTCTTTTTCTTGCTTGGTTGCACCGGCAAGAACCTAAGTAGAAGTGGCGAGAATGGAATACTCCTCTTATTTTCAGTCTTGGGGGAAGCGTTCAGCCTTTGACCATGAGTATGCAGGTTTTTGTAGATGGCCCGCAGGGTGGCTGAGCAAGTTCCCTCTGTTCCTCGTTTGCTTCAGGTTTTTATTTAGGAAGGAAGGCTGAATTTTTTTTCAGATGCTTCCTCTGTATCTGTTCAGATAATTGTATGGTTTTCCTGTTTTTAGTTTGTTAATATAGTGGATTATATTGATTGGTTTTCGTATTTTATTTTTATTTATTTATTTTTTCATTTATTTTTATTAGTTGGAGGCTAATTACCATTTCAATGTATGACAAAAACTACTGTAATGATGGTTTTTGTATTTTAAACCAGTCTTGCATTCCTGGGATAAGCCCTGCTTGTACATGATATATTACGCTTTTTATATTTTACTGGGATTGACTTGTCATCATTTGTTTACAACTCTTAACATCTGTATTCATGCATAAGACTAGTTTTTGGTCTAGTGCTCAGTTGCGTCTGATTCTTTGTGACCCCCTGGACTGTAGCCCACCAGGCTCCTCTGTCCATGGGATTCTCCAGACAAGACTACTGGAGTGGGTTGCCATTTCCTTCTCCAGGGGATCTTGCCAGTCCAGAGGTCAAACCCATATCTCTTGTGTCTCCTGCATTGGAAGGTGGATTCTTTACTACTAGTGGCACCTGGGAAGTCCTACTGGTTTGTAGTTTTCTCATATTGTCTTTGTCTGGTTTTGGTATCAAATACTGGCTTCATGGAATGAGTTGAGAAATAGTTATTCCATCTTCTGATGGAATTTATTTACAGTTTGTTTATGCTTTAGAGTTTGTTTACAGTTGTTTATGCTTTAAATGTTTGGTAGAATTCATCAGTTGAAGCTATCTGGGCCTGGAGATTTCCTTATAGGAAGATTTTTAAGTAAAATTTTTAGTGATATAGAGCTATTCATGTTAGCTTTGAGGGGCCTTTAAAGATACTTGCCCATTTAGGTTTTCAAATTTATTGGCATAAAGTTGTTCATAATCTTTTTTATTCTTCTAATGTCTGTACATCTGTAATGATGTAACCTCTCTCATTCCTAATATTGGTAATTTATGTCTTCTTTTTAACTTGATCAGTCTGACTGAGGTTTGTCAACCTGGACCCAAAGAACTGACTCTGGTTTCATTGATTCTTCTGTTGTTTTCCTGATTTCAGCTTCACTGATACTTGCTCTCCTCTTTATTTCCTTTCTTCTACTTAAAGTGCTGTAAAATTTTCCCAAGTGCTGCTTTAGCAGCGTCCCACACATTTTGATAAGTTTTCATTTTCATCCAGTTCAGAATACTTCTAAATTTCCTTTTGATTTTTTTTGACCCTCACATTATTTAGAAGTATATTATTTAGTCTCTGATTACTTGGAGTTTTCTCAGAGATCAGCTGTTGATTTCTAATTTAATTCCATTTTTGCAGGGAACAAAGTTGAATCCTCTACACTTATTGAGACTTGTTTTATAATCGGTGTTGGTAATATTCCATGTGCATTTGAAAAGAATTTGTGTCCTGGTCTTGTTGAGTAGAATGTCCCCAAAATGGCAGGTGTCTCAAATTGTTGGTGACACCGACGTCTTGTATATACTGACTTCTTGTCAGTTATTGGGAAAAGGATATGGAAGCCTCCATGTAACTGTGTATGCTTCTCTTCACTGTTGTTTTATTCTTCATGTATTGTAGAGCTCTGTTACTGAGTGCATAAACATCTAGGATAGTTAGGTCTTTCTGTTAATTGACTCTTCTGTAATTATGAAAAAGTAAGAACAGTATACTGTGGATTTATAACATGTAAAATGTATTAATATGACAACAGTAACAATATTCAAAGGGGAGAAATGGATGAAAACTTAGGGATCTTACTTTTCACAATAGAGATCAGTCTCCTTCCTAATCAGATGATTTACCTGAATGTCCTTCGCTTTAACGTACTTTCCCTCCCCCTTGCTTTAGTGAGGCGGTAGGAAGAAATGAAGGCGCGGCCTCGTGAGTTTCTAGAAATACGAAAGCGAGCTCTTGAGAGCCGCACTGGAGGGAGTGCCTCCCGCTGGCTTTGCCTTTCCCGGCTCTTCAGCAGGCCTGTGCGTCGGTGACGCCGTCTCTGCTGAGATGGCCGTTGGTGAGGAGGACAGCCTTGCTTTGTAGATTTTCAAGTGTCTTCTTTGGGGGAATTGAGGAATGAGTGCTAGATCTGTGGCTTCTCGCCTGCTGAGGTGACAGTGGTCTTGTGGGAATTCAGCCAGTGTTTGGAAGCCCTGTTAATGCTCGCTCCTAATGTTCTTGCCCCTTCCTAGGAGCCAGCACCGCTCTTCGACCTGGCCATGCTCGCCTTAGACAGTCCCGAGAGTGGCTGGACAGAGGAGGACGGTCCCAAGGAAGGACTTGCCGAGTACATTGTCGAGTTTCTGAAAAAGAAGGCTGAGATGCTTGCAGACTACTTCTCTCTGGAGATTGATGAGGTGGGTGACGGCCGTTTTTGTCCCCCTTGATCTCTGGGACTTGGTTTGCTGTGTTCAGTTGGTGAGCAGACCTAAAGAGAACCCGCAGAGAAGGCTCTCTAAGCATTTGGCTCTGCTGCCCCCAGGCCCCAACCTGGTCGCCCAGAATAGCAAGTCTGAGGACAGGACCTGGAGCAAGCGCCAGGGAGATGGAATTGGTCTAAACTCTAACAGCATGGTTTCTTATCCCCCTTGTGCAGGAAGGGAACCTGGTTGGATTACCCCTTCTGATCGACAACTACGTGCCCCCGCTGGAGGGTCTGCCTATCTTCATCCTCAGACTGGCCACTGAGGCAAGTGATGGAGCTCGTCCTGCTGAGTCCTGTGGGGGGATGAGTGCTGGGGCAGGGGGGCGCAGGCTTGCAGCTCCACCGTCGTCTGTGATGAGGAGGAAAGGCTAACAAGGCTAAGGCCCCTCTCGTCCCCACCCACCCTAGCAGTCCTCAGCAATTCTAGCCTACAGCTCTCATGCCTAAAAACCACATGTCCTTTTTAAGTCGTCTGTTATCTCCATTTAGAAATGAAATGTGTTTAAAGCATGTATGTATGTTGACTTATTGAATTCTCTCTTTGGACCAGGTGAACTGGGATGAAGAAAAGGAATGTTTTGAAAGCCTCAGTAAGGAATGTGCGATGTTTTACTCCATCCGGAAGCAGTACGTGTCTGCAGACTCAACCCTTTCAGGCCAGCAGGTATGAGGGTGATACACACTGGCGCTCCAGAACTGGGATGGGCGCTCACACAAGCCCGCCCCTCTCTGAACTCCTACGATCCAAGGCACATCAGCTTTAACGCAGTGGTCAGCTCTTAAAAGTTTTATCTCCTGAAACACTACTGGGAGGTACCCTTAGAGTGATCTCACTGTCAGATGTACAGACACGCCCCTGTAGTGAGAAGCAGGTGGATTCCAGGGCTCGGGGTCCGTGTCTCCCACTGTGAGCCTGGAAGGGTGTAGCCGCAGCCTGGCCAGTCTCCCCGTCTCTTGCGGCTTGTGCCTCCCTCTGCCTCTGACATTGCTGCGCCAGATGGACCTGGCTGTAGTGGGTCAGGTTCCCAGCTCTTCTTAAGGGAGGGCCCTGGGTTCTTCATGTTTCCATGTCAGATGGCAGCGCTTTTCAATCCACAGCTATTTTGGAGGTTTTGTTTGGGTGAGGAGAGGTGACTGAAACACAGGCAGCCCTTAGACATTTTGCAAGTTCCGTTTCAGACCACTGCAGTAAAGCGAGTTCACAAATTTTGAGGTTTCCCAGTACATATAAAATGTTATGTTTACTTATGTCTGTCAAGTGCAATAAAGCATTGTGTCTTAAAGCCAATATATATACCCACATTTAAAAATGCTGTTGCAGAGATGCCACCAGTAGATTTGGTGCAGTGTTGCCAGAAACCTTCAATCTGTGTTTAAAAACAAAACCACAGCAGCCTGCAAAGTGCAGTAAAACAAGCTCTGCCTGTGGTGTCAGATGGACATGCAGTCACTTTACACCAGGACCGTCCGTGACCGCACGCGTCCTCTGAGGTGGCGTGCTGTGCTGCAGCTTCAGGGTGTGTTCAGAGGCTCCCAGAGCCTGCATGACTTTGGAGTGTTCTTCCTGCCGCTGCCGTTCAGGCAGCACAGTCAGGAGGAGGCATTATTTTAGACGCTGCTACAGTGAGCACTGTCCCCGAATGGAAACAGCTTCCTTGGGGGGAAGCATCACAAGAGCCACAGCTGATTCTCTTCGCCCTCTCATTGCTGTGCCCAGGCCTGCGGTCGCACAGCCCCACTGTCAGCCCCCGCAGCTGTCCGGGCCCAGCGTACCCTGGGACGCGGACTCTACTTTGTCTCTTCCAGAGTGAAGTGCCCGGCTCCACTGCAAAGCCCTGGAAGTGGACTGTGGAGCACGTCATCTATAAAGCCTTCCGCTCCCACCTGCTGCCTCCAAAACACTTCACAGAAGATGGGAACATCCTGCAGCTTGCTAACCTGCCTGACCTGTACAAAGTCTTTGAGAGGTGCTGACTGTGGTCGCCTGGGGACTCTGGGGTGGTTTGTTCTTCCTTCTGTGTCCTGATGTCGGTAGGTGGAACTTTCACCTCACGTACACCTTCTCACTAGGAGAACTGCTTCATGTGTGGCAGACTGACTATAAATAAATAGCCAAATTTGTCCTGAGCATGATTTATTTCATTACAAATGAAATTTACCTAGATCCATTTTCACCTAGTGTATACCTGATTGTGTTTGAAGACTGCCAAAAGCAGTTTGAAAGCCTCTTGGACATCTGATAAGTCTAAATGGCCTTGAAAATTTTATATAGATCATGCATTGATTTGATTCTTTATATTCTGATGCATTTCTAATATCAGGTGATAGACATTATGTTTTTTATGCTTTTAAAAGGCACCTGAACCTATAAGAGATTGATGGTACTGTCAGTTCAGCTTTCTACATGGTCAATCTATTAGTACCTTTAATAACTAATTAATTTAGTCTTAGTAAAAAAAAAAAGGTTGAACAGTCTTTATGCAATGCATAACAGGCACGAGTTTGTAAGGTAGCCTACTTTGTTAATGGCTATCAATTATACCAGCATATGATAAAGGCATTTCTAGGCATTCTTCTTTGAAGGGTGTTATAAAAATACAAACTTGAATTATCAGTGCCATTAAAAATAAGCTTAATATCAGCCTGCATTAAAGAAATGTGCAGTCAGCACCGGGAGGAAGAATGCCTGTAGTTTGGAAGTAAGTCCAGCTCACAAGGCTCAGTGAAGAAAGTCCTGCGGAAAAGAACAGAAGAATCTATCTTGTGAGAAGTGGAGCCATTCCATTTGGAGAAGACAGGGACAAGGACAGACAGCCCTGGGAGCGAGACAGGCTGAGTGACCCCGGGCGGAGAGGAGGAGGGACCCCCGAGGCCTGCAGCTGGACATAGTGTGCCGGTGCCAGGTGTGGGGTTCCAGGATGGATCTGCATCCCAGAACACGCCTCCCCACCGCCCCCTCCTACGCACCACCTGAAAGAAAACTTACAGGGAATCACCTCAATTCAGGACATTGGTTTCCATATTTTTAAAACAGATAATTATTCTAAAGAAGAGAATAATTTTTAGAGATTTTATTCATATTTAAGTTAACTTTATTATCTAGTTTCATGTCTAATTTTATCTTATGTGGCCTTAATTCATTAGACTTCCCCCGTATTTTTTGTGTAAACACGTTGAAGATACAATAATCACTTCCATGAAACCACCTCGATTCTGAGAACAACAGAGAATCACAAATACTGCAACATGGCTACACACTCCACGGCAAAACCCTCGGAACTGGGTACCTTTAAGGATGAAACCAAAGTTCTTAAATTCTGTGTTTCAGATTATTCTTCCTTAAGGAGAGAGGAGGAGCGTGAGCGCCATGATTTGTTTTAAAGGCTCCTCTTAACAGAATGAATGTGTCGGTAGCCAATTGTAGTCAGCAGAAGGGTGTGTTTAACAGACTCTTCAGGCTGACCTCCACCTGCCTGGCCTGCCCTCCCTTCTCCATTGGGCTGGTCTGAGGTTTCATTCCACAAATAAGCAGCAGATGAAAATACTTTACAAGATACAGCACAGCTGATGTGAAGACTAAGGACCCTACTCTTACTTTAAGAGCAACAGGCCCTGGGCGCCCCTGCCCCATGCAATAAAACAAGTTTTATATACACTCCCCATATCCTTTTCTAACATTTTCTTATATAAATTTAAATATCTTACAAAAAAGGCTTTTTCCTCCAAACATACAAATTTGAGTGAAACATATATTCCCCACCTGTGAACTTGTTTCTTCACTAAATAGAAACGCTACCTGATAGTAAGGGTAAGTGTCTCTTGGCCCCTGGAGATCACTGTAGTCTGAATTGCACCGTGGAGAAGGCACTTGTGTTTCTGAGGTCTCCAGGAAGTATCTCAGTGGGCGCTGAGCCGCTGTCCTCCAGAAACGGGCCCAGTCACTGAGGCGGCTGGGGAAAAATGGTGAGTAAACTTGATTCTAAAATTACGGAAATAAAAAGTAACGGCATGGACTAGTTCTTAGTCTAGAATCAGCTACACACAAATGTTCATTCATGAAGATTCAGACCTGTTTCATTCTCTCATAAATTATAAAATACAAAGTGGCTATCTGAATGACAAAGCCCGACAGTCCTGAAAGGGGTCCGCGCTGGTGGGCGGGCGGGGCCCTACTGCTGGGCCAGCAGGGCCGTTCTGTTGGCCTTCATCTTCTCCAGCCGCTTGGCCAGGTGGCTGTTGGTCATCTCCATCTCCTCGATCTTGTCCAGTGCTGTTCGGAGCTGCAAACGGGAAGAGAGAGGTCACTCCTCCTGGCCAGAGACAAAGCCCGGCATGGCTTTCCTCTGCACTCTCGGGGAAATGAATTACTGCCGGGGGTGGGGTGCGGTGGAGGGGGTGTCTTTTTTCAGTCAGCCAGAGGTGTGAACCAGTGGTGCTGAGAGAAAGGGCATACAGACATACAGAGACACAGACCTCATTTAAAACAAAAACTTTTCTATCTGAGCAAAACATAGAAGTAAATGGCAGTCCCTGTGCAGGTCAGAAAACCAACACAGAGTAAATGATTCCACTGCTGTGTCATTAAAGATTGGAGCCAGGATGAAAATCCTTACACAGCAAAGAATGTGTTTCCAAAGGAGTTTTTTTAGGAACGTATTTCGAGAAGCATAGTACAGTTAAGTACCTCTCTCTGTAGCTTCCTCTTTTCTGCTTTCAGTTCATCCTCGACTTTCTCCGCATTCTCAGCAGCGGTTTTGTATCTCAGCACCTGCCCCTCCAGGCGGTTGATCTGTAAATATGAGAACACAGTCCTCAGGGGCTGGCACTAGGAGCCACCATTTTTTTGCAGCCAAGATGGAAACATGACATCATGACAGATTCCAAGTAATCTAAGGCTAACAAGCCCCTTCAGCGTGAGTCAGAGGTCCTCTCAGAACCCAGCTGCTATTTATAAACCAAGAACTGTCATCCCTTGAGAAGATGAGCTGTGCAGTCACTACAGGGCCACTTTCCCATGTTCAGTTTTATGATGACTAGATTGTTGAAGAGCCACAGTAACATAACGGGAGGAGACTCCCAGAATGGAGAAGTCGTTAGGCTTTCTGAAATGTACAGGAAGGGAATATATTATAAAGGACCATTTTCTTGAATTGGCTCCAAGAAATGGAAGTATAGCTTGGGTCTTCCTTCATAGAGAAGGCTGAAGTTCACTGCTGGCTTCTCCACTGTAACATGGAGCTGTTCTAGAGATCCAACTGCAGACACAGCTGAGAGAAACCTAGGCACTCACAGGGTTAGCCACTGAGAGGCAGGAAGCAGATGTGTTGTCAGGGGGACTGAAATCACTTGCTGCCTTACACAGGAAGGACTTACGCTCTGCTCCAAGGTGATTATATCCTGTTCCGCTTTGGAAAGCTTGAACTTGTATTCACTAATTTGTCTGTTGGCATCTCCTAGGAGAGAAGAGAATAAACCACCTCTTGCAGGGATGCAGGTGTGAGGAGAGGCAGGGGGGCCCGCCTGCTGCCCAGGAGAGGGCTGTGCTGCCGTCACCCCAGTCCCGGCGCGGTCCTGCGGGCCGCTCCAGCGCGTGCTCCCACCGCACCCAGGAGAGTCTGGTGTGTGCGGGTGGAGCTTGGGGCAGGGCCCCTGTCCTGGCTCCCCTCTGCCCACCGCTGGCCTCCGAGTCTAGCAGCCGTTGAGGCCCTCAGTTTCCCCTTCCGCACGACCCTCTAACGTTAACTGCGCGGCAGGGCCCCTGTCCTGGCTCCCCTCTGCCCACCGCTGGCCTCCGAGTCTAGCAGCCGTTGAGGCCCTCAGTTTCCCCTTCCGCACGACCCTCTAACGTTAACGGTAGCTTCTCCTCCCTGTTCCTGTTTGGTTTTTGCGCTTAGGACATTTATGTTTTCCTCACGTTATACAGAACATAGGGAAACACAGGCCCCTGGTGCCTCAGCTTTTTGCGTCCACCTGTTTGCAGTAAGTGCTCTGCACATAATGTACGCTTAGTATTTGCTGAAGTAATTGCTTTTCAGTAGCATGCTGTGATAATGCATTAGGCATAGAGCTGGAAATCATCAGCTGTGTATCTGACCTAGAAGCAAACTATTTAAAACAAGAAGTTTAGAAATGCTGGGGAAGAAAAATCCCTTCCAGCCATCCAAATTTAACAAAAACGTTAATGGTAGTAAGTTGGTGCTAATGAAGCCTTTGTCCAAAAAGGCCTAAGTGGACTTACTCAGAATATGTAGATGAAAAGGTCATGGAGGAACCAGTTATTTTAAAATAAGTTATTAGAAACGCCTTATTCAAATTGGAAAAATAAAAGTCTGTGTGGATTATACATTCTCTATATACAGATGTCTCCCTACTGTGGAATACTGTGAATACAGTAGGTGTTTTACAATATTCAGTAATATGGGGTCAAAAACAGGCAGGAATTTAGGTAAACTGAATGGGCTTACTTTGTGGCCTGTTTTAAATTCCATCTAGTAAAGTCAAGACTATTTCTGGGAAAACTCTAAATAAAACCACTCTGCATGGTGTGAGTGAGTTCCGAATATATCCCTCCAATCATCTAGGATAAACTCCCCAGAAAAACTTGTCAGTAGGAAGGAGGCTTACAGATAACACAGGAATGTGAAAAAGGACAGTGTCGTGATGGCACTAGCTGCAAGATGTTCTAGAAATCATGAGGGGAGAGCACCACCCAGGACAGCAGCTGGAAGCAGGCTCTTCAGTCCGTGACTGACTGGGACCGCTTTTCTGGTCCACCTCAGGGCTGATCTTTGGGACCACAGGCCGGAGCAGCCCGCTCGCACCCCACCCCGGGGAGTGCGCCGGCCCAGCCTCACTCTGCATCTCGATGAGCTGCAGGTCTGAGCCGTTCTGTAGCTCCGCCAGGTCGCCGGCTGTGCCCCCGTCGCTCCTGGAGCCCTTCTGCCGCTCCTCCTCCAACTGCAGCTTCAGTTTCCTAATCTGAAGAGGAAGTAAAGGCTCATCAGTGAGGTCCAGCCTCTCAAATGAAACAGATGCTTGGCCCCATGGCCGCATCTTAGAATAAGGCCACAGATCATTCACTCAGAGACCCTCTTCACTGTGCTCAGGTGCTGGAGGTCAGCTGTGAGCAAATGATCAAAAGGAGTGAGCCCCAGGACCGGGGGTCCTAATGAAAATAGCCAAAAATAGCCGTATTTCATTATTTGTGTTCATCTGTAGAAAAGCACATCTTTGGGTATTTTTAAATTTTTGTTTAAAATGGAAAATCCCACCATCAGTTGGATGTTTCTTGTTCTAATTTGAGAGTTAGGTTAAGTATTCTTATTTAGAAAGCTGTATACAGAAATAATTGGAAATATATTTTTGAGTTTGGCTATAAAATTTACCTTATTTTACCCAAAAATAAAGGCCACTTATAGCAGCTTACTCATTAATAGCCCCAAACAAGAAACTGTTGAAATGTCCATCAACGGAAGGATAAAGCAAATAGTAGTTCATGTATATACAATGGATTACTGCTTGGCAAAAGAAGCGAATATACTGGTAACACATGCAGCAAAATGGTGAGTTTCAAGCTAAGTATATGCAGTGCAAGAAACTCCAGAAAATACAAACTGAAGAGGCAAAAAGGTACACTGGTGGTTTCTGGAGAAGGGGAGGAGGTGGGAGAGGAAGGAGGGTTTACAGAGGGACACAGGGACTTGGGTTATGCATGTTTTTACCATGTGGATTGGGGTGATGGTTTCATAGGTTGCTCTCCCCCCAAAGTTCGTATATTACAGTCCTAAGCTCACTGCCTCATAATGTGATCTTATTTTGGAAACAGTCACTGCAGAGGCTCTTAGTTGAGGTGAAATGACACTGGAATAAGGTGGGCCCTGAGTCTAGTATGCCTGGGGTCCTTAATCAGAAGAGCACCACATGGAGAGGGAAGCCATGTGATGGCAGAGAGAACACTGTCACCAAGCCAAGGGACCCAGCGGCCCGCCGTCTAGAAGAGAGGCCCCCCCACAGGCCTCAGGAGGAAGCCGCGCTGCGGACACAGGACCCTGGGTTCCTCGCCTCCACAGTGGAGACTGCCTCTGTCCTGCGCCGCCCATCCTGTGGTCTTGGTCGTGGTGCCCTTGGAAACTGTTCTGTGATGTGCATCTGCACATTGTAAGTCTGTGCCCAGCTGGCACCAGTGGTAAAGAACCTGCCTGCCAGGTGACATAAGAGATGCGGGTTCAGGCCCGGGGTCAGGAAGATCCCCTGGAGGAAGACACAGCAACCCACTCCAGTGCTCCTGCCTGGAGCATCCCATGGACAGAGGAGCCCCGAGGGCCACAGTCCGTAGGGTCACACAGAGTCGGGCACGACTAAGCACATACAACAGCTGATTTTATACCAATTATAAGCTATCTAAATTTTTTAATAAAATAGAAGATAAACTTGAGAGACTTTGGACTGGGAAAGAAGAAAGTCCAGTTGGAGACAGCAGTTGCATGAATGGAAAATAAGATTAGATGGACAGAAATGAGCTGCATGGGGAGGCCCCTAGCCCACCCCATTTCCACACTGCACACAGCTGGGCCTGGAGCCTCCCTCAGGCAGAAGATGGGAGGCACGCTCTTTAGAATTCTGATGAGCCCAAAATACAAGTCCAGCACACCCACATCGAAGGTTCCCAGCCACATCAAGCTGGGCCCCACCAACAAGCTGCCCACCAGCTTTTTAGTATTCCACTTTTAAACTGAAAACTAAATAAATCTACATAAAAGAACATCTGGAATGAAACTACACAGAAAAAATTAAAGGGGAGCAAATCAACCAGCATATCAATATCGTCCGATATAATGACTTCAGAAACACAACTCAGTAAAAATAAGAAGGTACAGTTGAGAAGATCTTTTAGAAAGCAGAACAAATGAGATGAAAGGGATAGAAAACCAGGAGGGAGAGAGTATCTGGCCTGAGGTCTATTCCCCTTCCGCCCAAGTCAGAAATCAATCAAGTTCCCCAAATGCCTACAGCACTTCCCACCAGAGATGCAGGAGGCAGCACAAGCAGAGCCCCCGTCCGCGCCCACACGGGGCCACCTCTGGGGTCAAGCCCAGGCCTCTCCACGCCTCCCGTGCACTTCCTCCTCGGGGGTCAAGGTGAGGCTGCATGCTCAGAGCGCTGACCGTCCTTAGCTCCATCCCCAGGGGGCAGAGGGACGGCTCGGCACTGGGCCAAGTCTGCCTGCCCGCCCCCCGCCATGGAGAAGGGTGAGCTGGGCACCAGGACTGAACCTGTCCTTCCTGACAGCTCTGCCCTTTCAGCCACGACATCATTACCTGCCTCGGGTCACCTTCCCTGTCGTTCCTGCTCATGTCCATCTCAGAAAGGCTCACCTCCCTGGCCTGTGCTCTTCCTCAAAGGACCCTGGACGAGCCCAACTGTCTTCACGTCCTAACCTTCCCCAGAGCCCCACACTTGCGCTGCCCCCTCTGGTTACCTTGTGTCATCAGCAGCCCCTCCATCCCCTCTGCACGGGCCCATCACCCCAGCCTGCTCCCCCACCCGAGGGGCTGCTTCCCCTGCAGGCAGGCAGCCCCTCACCCCTGCTGAGCCTGAGGATGGGTCAGGGTCCCCTGCTCTCCTTGCACACTCGCCTCCCTCTGGCCCCCTGAACTCCTAATGCAGCTCCCAGTCACATCTCCTCTTTATAAATGCTCATAACTACCATCACCCCGCACTCTCGTCACCATTATAGCTCCTAACTCTCATATCCGCAAGGTTATTCCTGCCTGAGTTGTTGGCAAATTCAAAATCCATCTGAGCAGAGGATCTCTTACAATGAATCCCTCAGCTTCTGGAACAAGGATCTTGCCATCTACTCCATCCCCCCCCTCAGCCACTCGCTCCCACTGTCATGTACTAGATCTCCTCACTAGATGCCAGCCAGCCCTGCCCAATGCAGTCCCGTGCATCTTCTAACCACTACTCTTGATCTTTCCAGTTTATTCTCTCTGCACCCAACTCCAAAAGTCCTTCCACCCCACTGGCCCTATGATCCACTGTCTGTACCTTCTCTCCAGTGTGCCTTGATGTCTTCCTAGGTTTCCCATAAACCTCCTTAGCCAGCTTAATCTCCAGGTCCATCATCCCTCTGGCATATGCCTGCACCCCACCTGCCTGAGTCTCCTCACCTGGTAAAATCTAACACTGCTCACTCCATGCCTACACCTATACTGCTAAACGTGCCTGGAGAAACAATATTCACACAAAACGCCAAACCACATCACTGAACTTTCATAATATTAGGGAGAAAGGAGAGTATGGGCCAAGCTTCCAGAGGGGAAAAATAGGTCACAGATAAAAAATAAAAAATCAGAATGTCCTTGAAATTCTCAATAGCCAGAGGAGGCCAGAAGACAATGAAGCAATTTCTTTGAAAAAGAAGATGAATGCAAGTGATTACAACAAAGAAGTCCATAACCACATCAAACTGTTAATCAAATAAAGGGGTAAGATGACATTTTCACTCCTGTGAAGTTAAGAAAAATTTACTGCCCCCAAACTGTTCTCTGGAAGCTACTGGGGGATGTACCTGAGCAAGAGAACGGAGGTGGAGGGAAGGAGGCCTAAGATGCTGCAGAATGGGGTCCAGCCTGGAGCTTACAGGCGAAAGAAACCAGATGATGGGCAGGGTGGTAAGGTCTCTGTCCCCAGGGAGTGAGCCAGCATGTCCAGAAGGGCTGAGCCAGACGCTCCAGGAACCAGAAAGTGGAACTGAGGGAATGCCGGATGGGCCGAAACTACTGCTGGAGAGCCTGCCCCTAGATGCGAAACCAGCAGATAGGAAACCAAGCGCGTGACGAGGCAAACCCCAGTCCTGACTTGGGAGCCGAGATGCGAAAGAGATGAAAAGACCCCAGAACATGCTCCATGGTCCCGCTGTGCGCAGTGCTTACACACCTCCGATGACACAGCCCAACTGGAGTCACACTGTCCCTTTGTGGGGAGGGAGCGGGCACGGGAACGACAGATGTTGGGCACAGAGACGGGGTGAATCAAGTGAAGCCCCCACACTCCATAGAGGGGTGTCACCAGGACCGCCTTAAACAGAATGGCCAAGAAGCAACCTAAGCACGTCACACAGAGGCATAGTGGTCAGCGCACACCACAGTCAGCTACAGGGACCGAACACGAGAGCCAGGGCAGGAACGTTCGTCCTAACAGGGCTTGCAGAGCCGGCTGCCTGAACTGTGGCCTATACCTGTTTTTTTAAAGACTAGGAGACAACAAAGAGGTAAATATGACTTTTTATCCTTCAACTCTTACTGGAGTAGTGATATCTGAAATAAGCACATGTCTTTCTAGTGCATATTTTAATTTGCTCACATTTTACCACATGATTTAGTCAGTTACAATTAAGATTACCCTCCCATGAGAAGAATGCCTTTACCTGTGATAGTAGCTCTTCCTTTTCCCCAGCGAGTTTTCGTAGCCTTACGTCTAAAACAAATGAAAAGTTTGTAATGATGTACTATATAAACAATTTAAAATAATTCTTCAAATTCACAAATAGCAAACATCTGATAAACAATTTACCGCTTTGAGTATCAAAACACATAAAGGCTTTAATGATGAAAGGGAAAGTACTGGATGATGCAAGACCTGTTTCCATACAGTTGATGTTTATCAGGCACTGAATACAACATTTGCTCCCCAAAGCAGTGATTTTCCATGTGAAGACAAATGCAAGTACAAAGATCATTTCCTCGTTTCAAAAATTTGAAAGTTTTACCAGGAGACAATCCCCTGAAAGCCAAGGGTACCCCCACAGGCTTTTAAGTCCTTAGAACGAGAAAACAAACTCTGGGAGAGAGGACAGGGCTGAGAAGGAGCCTGACGGGATGCTGGAGCAAAGAACGCACAGGAACGCGATGCCAGGAGCAGGCAAGGCCCACAGGCCTGTGTGTGGGGCAGGGGTGCGGGCGGGCTCTAAGACGTGGGCTGTCAAGGCTCATCAGAGGCTCTGCAGCAGGACCACGTGGGCCGCCCCTGGCCTGAGGGGATGGATGCTCCCTCCCAACATGCAGGAGAACAGGCCCCTGGACCAACGGGATGCCGACAGACAACGAGCTCCCCACAGCCAACCACGGTCACCGCCAAAGACTCCAGCCCCCCCCCATGAGGCAGAGGAAACCCTGCAGCTGCCCGTGGCTGGACACGTCCATGCTCCGCGGCATCCTCCGCTGCATCAGAGGGCCGACAGTTAAACTTCCAGAGCCCCCTCACTGAGAGCGGGCCCGCCTCTATCATACACATTCTTCTAGGAAACTGACACATACAGGAAAATAAAAAAGGAAGAAAGATTACTTTTAATATAAAAGTGGCTGACGACACAGCATCCACCTGTGCCATCCTCTAGGACTGGATTCTGAGTGGACGCAGCAGATGGGCATCTTCCTGAGGGTAGTGTCGTCGGGCTCTCAAAGCGTCCAGTGTAAGTGGCTTAGCCCTGAACACATAACTGACGGGGGGATTTTTGCAGAAACTAACTCCAGTGGCTGGCAATTTGTTATGTAAGTGAATATTGAAACACTAACTTTTGGTCGTCTGTTTGTTGCCTTAAGAAGTGCAGTGGCAAGGAGTTACAGAATCCTGAGTGGCAAAACAGAAAACCAGATGCTCCCGTAAGAAGAAACTTAGAACACGCTCAGGAAGCCACCGACCAGCCCTCTGGCTCCCCAGGACAGATGTGCTGGATTCTCTCTTGGCAGAAAGTAGTGTTTAAGTGACAAAGCCACATACACACACCCACGCACGTCCGAGCAGGGGCCTTACCCCCCGACCCTGCCTGGCAAGGGCCCAAGCGCTGCTTCCCCGAGGCCAAGGACGTCCGAGGACAGCGTGCCCAGGTGTCTTCCTCTCAGCAATGTCGGGAAGGCTCAGAGCGCCCTGGCTCTTGTTTGCCAAGAGAGGACGTGCCCAGGTTGGACGTCCAGGCGGACAACATGAACCCCAGTCAACACAGCGGCGGCGTCTTACCGAGCGGCCCTTCCCCCGCCGACTCCAAGACCTGGGCGGCCTCCTGAGACACCACGGTGATGGCCCCGACCGCGGGCTCCTGGTGGACGTCGCCGTTGGGCGTGCCGTCGGGGATGATGACGAGGCCATGTTTCTGCGGGGAGGAGGAGACTCGGCGTCACAGAAGAGCCCGCAGGGAAGCAGCAGGCGGCAGCACGGAGGCCCTGTGACAGCGCACGCCTGCCGCGGGGGCCCCTGGCCAGCGCCAGCTCTGCGGACGCACTCACACCCCGGCCCCGGGACAGCTTCAGGGGCGGAGAGGGCAGGGCGGCAGGAGGAGCAGCAAGGCGGCCAGGAGCTCACGTACCTCTCCCGCCTCCGCCGCTGCCTTCAGGGTGGCCAGCTCCTCCCGGAGCGCGGCCCGCTCGCTCCTGAGGCAGCTCACGTGTTCTCTCAGTTTCTCAAGGGCCTGGTTTAGATGGGGCAGCGGGAGAAAGAAGGGCAGAGAGAGAGAGCAAGTGAAAGGGAGCAGAGCAGGGCCGGGTTCAACTTCAAAAAAGATAAAGCGTCAGAGACAAGGAGGCGTTAAAAGCTTTGGACACAAGCACTTAGATGTGGAGGGAACACAGAGTCCTATGCATCTAGCTTCAGAAGAAAGTTTTGTAGAAAGTGGTTAATCGTGTGTAAATCTGGCAAAGCAGGCTTAGTGCATCAGGCAAGAAAACAAACCCTTTTTAGTCAATGAAAATAAACAGAGAAGGAAGGTGAAGAATAAATAATACTAAAATAAAGGTTTCCTGACAAACCTCCTAAGTATGCTTTTATCTGGTAGTCCCAAAACCCACATTTCATGTTAAACTGAACTAGTATATTCAAGAATATACTTGATTTTTTAAAAAATAAAAAATGGGTTCTGGAATAACCAGTATATATACAGTGTATTTTAATTAAATACTGGCTGCAGTAACTGTCCTCTACATCATATGGTAAAATATTCCTCATATACCACTCAATGAAAAATAGCTAACCTCCACCCCAAATTCTCAAGGATCTGTTTTTGTTAATTAAATGCAACTAATGGTTATTTGCTTTTCTGATATACATTCAAAATGTGAAAAACTGATGAAATAAACCCAGTCCACTTATGGCAGGTAGCAGAATATGGGTTTGCAAACAGGCGGTTGAGTCCCGGCACCTACTAATTGACCTGTGCCTCAGTTTCCTCACGAGAAAAAAGGATGATACCAGCACCACCCACTGGCCCAGGCTGAAAGGAGTACTCAGCACCAGCACCCTCCAGTGCGGAAGATGCAGGAAGGTTCATGAAAAGCCGGCCTGGGTTCCATGTGTATTTTCCCTGTTGTTGCCTAAAGCTCACAGCTGTCAGAGCTGAGGACAGCGGAGAGAAGCAGGAACACGTTTCGTCCATGCTGACATACTGTTACTTTATGTCATAAAATAGCCCAGACTTCAAAACCCACCCAGGTTAAGCAGTGTATGCAGACATCTAGCAGCTGGGCTATTTGAAAAAGCCTTTCTCTGCACATTTGTTCCTATGTTTAATGTTTTCTACCAGCGTTCCCATTCATGCAAGAAGTTGAACTACAACAGGAATTCTCTTCTTGGTTTACAGAGTCTAGAAGTGGGCCAACTGCTTAGTTACTCATTGCTGAAAAGCTGGACAACTTTCTAAATCATTATAATCCTATTTCCCAACCAGTAAGTAAATAAGGGATGATGGCAACTGCCATTTGTGTAGCTCCAGGTCTTAAAATTGATCTCTCTCATGTATTTTTATATTTAATTTTTCCCTTACATACCCTGTACTTTTCTTATCCCCATTTCACAGATTAGAAAATTGAGGCTCTGACAAGCTATGTTTTCTACCTGAAGTCACAGTAAGTGGCAAAGCCAGAAAATGAACCCAGTTTTTTGGTTCAAAGCCCTCGCATACTCTGCATGTGTCGTCACCCCACGAAGGCCACATTATCTTCCCTTACTGTCACCCCGGATGCCACTGGAAAAGCAGTTCACAGGACAAGTCCTATTCCTTCTTTGCCCAAACTGCAATGTGAACATCCAGCTTCCTCCTTCAACAATTTACATTCATACTGTGTGTCGAGAGCCTGCCTGTAAGTTAATACGTGCATTCCCAACACCACAAGGCATTCAGTGGAACACTTCAAGCCAGTATTAACACTGTTACATTACGAGCAAGTGTAACATTAGGACAGCAAAGCCCGACAACACTGTCCCATCCGTGGCAGCCTGTCCTCTCTGGGCTGGCTATTTTGGGTTATAGGTGTCCACGTGCATTGTCGTGCCGTGCATCGCCACAGACAACGGGGACGGCGGCCACTGTCACAACATGCTCGATTAATAACACTGGAGAAAACCCCTTAGGAACAGACCAATTTGAAACTCGAGTTCTAGCAAATGCTAGCTAGTACATGCCATTTGTTCCTCTTCCCAATCTTATAGCAGACTGTATCTTTACTTTTGGACTTTCAAATTTCACCTTCCCATAATTATGGGTGGGAAAACAAAATATATCCTGCAAATCCTCCCATCTTACCACAGAGTTTGAAGACTACTGAAATACCTTATAACTGGACCAAATGTATTCACACTGGATCTGAAATCCTCTGTATTACCTGACCATATAATCACTACTCTTGGGCTTGTCTTCCGTAAGTATTCCTACAGCAGATTTTTTTAGGGTAAAAAGTACATGCTTGTGGAGCTTTAAATAATTTTTTACCCCTGACCTAACCTCAAATTCTAGTGTCAAGAAGCCCGAAAGGCTGAACTTTTGGACAACAGGTTATAATTACATACAGGCACAAATATCTTTAGTGAGAATGGGAGTGAGCCTTGGTGCTAGGCTGTAGGGACATACAAGCCCTTCACACACACCCATTCTACACATGACCCCTGGGTGCTCAGAGCTACTCTGGTGCTAGATGAACAACCACTGGGGTCAATGAAATAATTAAAACTGAACTTGAATATGAGAATAAGGGCTGTGTTCCTTCATGGAGCTACTAAATTTAAGTCTTGATAGTGAAGCTAGAGACCTGATACATCGGGAAGTCAGAGATCATATTTAAAATGCATCTTTTAAAAGGCCAGGGAGGACCACCTCACACACATGATGATGGCTACTACGAAAAAAAAAGAGTGCTGGCAATGATGGAGAGAAACTGGAACCCCTGTGCAGTGCTGGTGGAAAGGTAAAATGGTGCAGCTGCTATGGAACACAACATGGTTGGTCCTCAAAAGTAAACTACGTATAACGTAGCAGTTCCCCTCCTGGGCATGTACCCGAAAGAAACCACCAGAAGAGACTTGCAAACTCACGATCACAGCAGCAAAAAGACGGGAGCAACCAAGTGTCTGCCAGCGGATGACGGAGCCCACAAAGTGGGGTGCACACACACTGCAGTATCATTCAGCCTCAAAGGGAGGACTTCTGACACATGCTACGACATGTCTGAACCCTGAGGACATACGCTGAACTGAACTAAGCCAGTCGCAAAAAGACAAACACTGTATGACTCCATGTATGAGGTACCCAGAGTAGTCAAATTCACAGAAACAGAAGCAGAACGGGGGCTCCCAGGGCACAGACGAGGGGACCTGGGGAGTAGTTGTTTAATAAAGTTCGGTTTCAGTTCTGCAAGATGCAGAGAGGTTCTGTGGAACCTCCAATGTGACTGGACTTAATACTACCAAACTCTTCACTTAGAAATGATTTAAATGGTCAATTTTATGTTGTTTTTTGTATGTTGCCACAACAACAACAAAACAATTTTTTAAAGCAAAAGAGGGACAAACTTTTGATGCATGAAGCACCATGGATGAATCTTAAGGGGAATTATTCTCGGTGAAAAAAAACGTAATTCCAAAGGGTTATATACTGTACGATCCCATTTATAAAACATTCTTAAGATGACAAATTACAGAAATGGAGAAAAGCAGTTGCCAGCACCTGGGACAGTGATGCTGAGGCAGTAGACATGACTACAAGAGAGCAATAGGAGGGACCTCTTACAGTAACGAAAATGTGCTCCATCTAGAGTGGATCAAGATCAATACCTGATTGTACTATAGTTTTACAAGATGTTACATTTTGGGAAAACTGGATAAAGGGCACACAAGGTCTCTGCATTAGTTCTTAAAACTGCATGCGAGTCTACGATGATTTCAAACATTTTTTAAAAGTTTGGGCTTCCCAGGTGGTGCTCGTGGTAACAAACCCGCCTGCCCGTGCAGGAGACAGAAGAGATACGGGTTCAGTCCCTGGGCTGGGAAAGATCCCCTGGAGGAGGGCACGGCAACCCACTCCAGTATTCTTGCCTGGGGATCCCATGGCCAGAGGAGCCTTGGGGCTCCAGTCCAGGGGGTCGCACAGAGTCGGACACGCCTCAGGGACTGAGCGCCACCACCAGCAGCTAATTTCAAGCAGAACAAGACTTCCTTAGGTCCTCAGGCCAGAGGTCTCCTCTCTTTTCCTTCATCTCTCCTGACAAGGTGAGTCTCTGGAACAGAGGTCCTATGCCATGAGGCGGTTGCCAGTCAAAAGGCTACCTGGGATGAGCTGGCAGGAATGTTTTCAGTCTCTGGAGTTCTTGGGATCTACCTGAAGGGCTTAGCAAAAAGGCAGAGAACTTCTTCCTTATCTGGGCCCCTGCTCTGGGGAGTTATGAGGATATAATTAGAGGAGACGTCACAGTTTGGCAGCGCCAGCAAAATCTTACATTCCTATCCACTTCCGTAATTAAAATGATTCTGATCTCTTCCTATTTTATTCACCAAAGATTTATGGGATGTTAATAACTTCTCCCCCACCCCCTATCCTCTGCTGCTTCTCCAGATTCTTGCAATGTAAGAGTATCAAATTACCCACAGAATTTGAATTAAATGCCTGTGGCTGTTTCTGCACAAAAATCCTGGGAAAATAAAGAACAACTTCCTTAGAAAGCTCTTGCTTGTACGTTTTACAAGCCCAGAGTGAGCTGGAGAGGAGAGCTCTTTCCAGGCACAGGATCAGGTTTTCCCGGGGAACCTTCTGTCTTCTGCTAATTTATATCTCACTCTGTATAAATGCTCAAAGATAATCAAAGGACAGAACTTTAGGAATCTCTAAATTACATTTACATTGGTCTAGTCCTTGTCTGTGAGCTTCGGGCCAAAGCCCAGTTTCACTTCATACCCTAATGCTCTTATCTTTCCAAAGCAGCGTCTCCTGGAGTTCGAACACCTCTTTTGTCATGGTGTCTATTTTCTGCTGCATATGCTGCTTCTCCTGCAGAGGAAGAGGGGAAGAGCAAAAATGAAAGAGCAGGAAGAAAAAGAGGACGGGGTGAGGGGGAGGAAAGCAGAAGAGAAATAAAGCTGATAAAGAAACTTAACTAAAGGAGAAAGGCTGTGATGAACAGGAAAAGCAAGAGCTGCTTGTCGGAAGGAAGGATGACACGCAGTGTCTAGGCGCCGTGACTGCCACTGGCCTGGTGCTGGGCCAGCCAGCGAGGGGCCGCGGATGGCGGTCCCAGACACAGCCAGCCAGTGGGCTCCTGCACACGCCCAGCTAGCTCCGCGCGTGTGCTCTTCCACTCATGACTGCCCTTCCTCAAACACGGGACACTTCCACTGCTAGAGGGCAGGTCAGACCTGCTTATGAGCACGTGACCCTTATCACTGACAACAAGCGGGAGTTTCTGAGCTCTTTTTAAAGCAGAACTGGAAAAAACATGAGAGGGACACAGCTCAATCATGCTCAATTTCCTTTAGCAGCATCTATGATAGCAAGAACATCATAAATTACAAATGATCATAGCAGTTTTTAGAAACACTTGAACTTTAGCATTCAGCAATTCTTAACTCTTTTGAGGAGGTAGTGATGCACAATTTATACCCTCATATTTAGCAGGTTTCATTTCTGCATTACTGGTAAATTATCATCTCCTACTTCCCTACTCACACATCTCTCATGTACTTTACCATGTGGTTCTCAATTCTAAAGACCAAAAAGCATTATTTTGGCATAGCCAAGACTCTTCAGTTAGAAGTAAATGCATATATTAACACCTGGCAGTGGTTCAGTCACTAAAGCGTGTCTGACTCTTGCGACTCCATGGACTGTAGCCCTCCAGGCTCCTCTGTCCATGAGATTTCTCAGGCAAGAATACTGGAGTGGGTTGCCATTTCCTTCTCCAGTATTAATATTTGAAGGATGTTAATTCTAAACATAAGAAAATACCTAAAACTTAAGTTTGCATACCTGGCACCTTAGGCTTTAAATTAAGAGACCATACTGACAAGTTGTAAAAGTCAAGCATTAAAATTCCTCTTAAATGCAATCATCACATTAAAAATCAGAACACTTAATCAGTTCTAATGTAAGTTACTGAATTTGAGAAGCAGCTCCCAAAGCAGTTTTATCATTCTTTTGAAATTGTAATGGGGAAAAATTATATATTTTAACTAGAAAAAGAAGTAAGTGGCTGGCATACTGACACACAAAAACAAGAAGACAAAAAGGGAGAAGCATTCACACATTATTTTTAAATGCCAGCAAGAAACAGAGTTTGGATAATATACTTCTTGCCATATATGGAAAAACCAAGACAACTAACTCCCTATGTAACCTGATATTTTCAAAGGGTTATCTGTGTTTGCATTTAGAATTCACAAATTCTACCCGCTTTCAGCAAGCCAAGTTCAGTTATTCTCAAGAATGACAAAAAAGTAATATAAATCCGCAAACAGAATCACTTCTTTTCCTCGATTAAATAATTTTTAAAGTCATTCACATGGGGGGAGGTAAAGTGAGTCAGATCCGCTGGGGGAAGAGAAAAAGGAGGGGGGAAAGTATCGGGGAGGGGAGCTCTGAACCACTAGGGACATGGATGAGCTGAGCGTGACCTACGAGGCGGCATCTCAGGGTCGCTGGAGCGGGCCTCCCTGACATCACCACGGCACCGCCGCTCATTAACACGAGACGCGCCGGGAAACCACGCCGAGGAAGCAAGCAGGAGCCAGTCCCAATAAACCCAACCCCATATTTATAAAAAAATGGCAACCTCGAGAGGAAAACTGCATTTAAAGAAAAACAGAGATGCATGCCAGGTAGCGGGCCCAAAAGGATGAGAACGGCCATCAAAGGTTTCCTGGGGGCCCACAGGGCGCCCCTCCTAGGACCCTGCCGTGATCCTAGAGCTCCTTGCCAGGGGAGCCTGAGCCGCAGCCTCAGCCAAGCTTTGCCTTCTGTCTCCCACCAGGCATCCAGACAACTTCTTTTCATTTAGCCATTTCAGAAATGCACCTACCTGAGTGAAGATCAAACTTCTTCTTCCCCAAGAATCATGTCCCAAAATAGAGCATTCACTACATTCCCAAGAACCATGGTACTCTGAGGGGTTTCCTTTTGCCCACTTCCTAAGGTATCTTTAGGGAAGAGTGTGTTTAGGAATAAAAGACAGTAACCAAAGCTTCTGCTATTAAAAAGAAAATACTTACAGGGGTTACAGCATTAATTTTTTAAGCCTGCTCTCATGTTTCACACTTGTAAAATGTTAGGGTGTGGCCAAATGTGAAGAGACAGGTACAGGGTTTGTGGCATTTTAACCCCCTTCCCTCCCAACACACATGCCCTCATTCCATTTGGCGCATTTTCTCCTCAAAATAGGTATTTCCACAGTTCCCGGACGTACCTCAATTAGCTCATCTCTTTGTCGGAGGCCTTCTTTAAGCTCATCCATCTTGTGCTGTAGCACGCTACACATATGTTTCTGCCTTTCTAACTCCTGTTATTAAAGAAATGATACGGTTAACAGATGGTGGCACAGGACAGACGGAACAGCTACAACATAGTGACAGAGAGGCTGTGCGTGACCCCCAGAAACACACCTGTGCTGCCATGCACTGTAACTTAGAAAAATTCTGTATTCTACGGAAAGGTTCAGGAAATTCTCAATTTTCATCTCATATGATTACATGTCTAGAAAATCCAAACTAATCAATGGCAAAATTACTTTGAATAATGAAATGACTTAGTAAAACCACAGCTTATAAAATTAACATGCAAAATTCAAGAAGTGCCACAGATCAAAATAAGAGAGAAGATACAAGAAAGACACTATAAAAAAATAAAATACATACACATAAACTTGTAAGATATACCCAAAATACATACGAGGAAAATAATATAAAACATTCCTGGAAGACAGAGACGTAGGACTGAACCAATGGAAAGGCATGCCATATTCTTGAATAAAACGATGCATCATAAAAATATAGGTTCCCCCTAAAATAACCTATGCATTAAATGCAGTCCAAATAAAAATACCAACAGGTTTTTCTCCCCACAGAGCAACATAAGTTGATTATAAAGTTTATTTGGGAGAAAAACAAGAAAAAATAGCTAGAAAAACACAAAAAAAGAAATCTAATCTTATTAGATATTGAAACCGTATTATGTGGCTTATATAATTAAAAATGTTATAATGGCTCATGAATACAGACCAATGGAATAGAATAAAAAATCCAGAAACAGGCCCAATCACATAGTAAACAACGACAAAACAAAAAGCGGTTCAAATCAATGAGAAAAGCTAGGCTTTTAAATTAGCAGTGTTGGCATAACTGGATATAAACACGGAAAAAGAAAACTGGAACTGAACTTCAGAGAACACACCAGAAGAGATGCACTGAAGGAAAACGGAGAGACAACCAGAGACAGGAGAACGGGAGCGAGACACACGGTCACTAGAGAAAAGGTGAGTGTATCGCCACAACCAAGGAGTGGGTAAAACTAAACCATGACTCAAAAATCTGCAAACAAGAAGCGGAATGGGGTAAAAAAACTGGACTACACAAAAATTTTAAACTTTCGGGAAACTCCCTGGAGATCCAATGGTTAGGGTTTCGTGCTTCCACTACAGAGGGCGGTGGTTTGATCCCTGGTTGGGGAACTAAGATTCCACAAGCAGTTGCAGCGGGGCCAAAAACCAAAAAAGAAAACAACTTTTGCATGGCAAAAACACTATAAACAAAGCAAAAAGACAAGTGACAAATGACTACAAAAAACTGTTACTAAGTTATATCAGAGACAAAAGGATACCATCTTTCCATATAGAGAGCCTCAAAAATTAGAAATAAGGAGGGGAAAACCCCCACTATTTATTAGAATAGGCTAAAAAAAAAAAGGGACAGTTCACAGGAAAAGAAGTACATTGCTCTGAATGTGAAAGGATGCCCATACTAAGAGAAATGCAAAATAAAACTGTTTCACACCAAAACATCAGTAAAAGTCCCCAAACACTATACTCAGGGGAAAGTAGTACGGAGAAGGAAACCGGCCCTCTCTTACAATATGTGGGAATACAAAATCGTACAACCCCAACAAAGGAGAGCATCATATCCAGCAGGGCCACCAGGCCTTCTGACCCAGCAAACTCACTTTTCTGACTCGCACAGATACCGGCAAAAATATAAAAAGACCTATGCAGTACACTGGTTTTGCAGGACTATTTTGAAGAGCAAAAAACTGCAAACAACTCAAATGTCCATTAATAGGAAACTGGAGGTACAAACTGTAGTATAAGTGATTAAAAAAAAAGAAAGAGGAAAAGCTCTCTATATTAGTCATCAGGTGATAGAGTCAAGATACAGAAAAATAGTACAGTATGCTACCATTTTCTAAGAAAGGAGAAACACAAATATATTTCATTTTTTGAATGGGGGAAAAAGTCTTCTTAGGATTAAAAAAAAATGGGAGGATAAACCATTTAATTAAAAAAATTCCCTTAAGGAAGGAGAAAATTGGGATGAAGAGAATGAGACAAAAGACGGACTTCTTTGAATATATTTTTGTTACTGATTTGACTTCAGATCTGTGCAAATAATTCACAAATTGTGTAAAAAATTTCACTGTGGAAGCAACCCAAGTGTCCACTGACAGATGAAGGACAGACAAAATATGGTACATAAGTACAGTGGAGTAGTGTTCAGAAGAAAATCTCGTCACATGCTACAAACGGGAGTGAGCCCTGAGGACAGTATGCTAAGTAAAATAAGCCAGGAACAAAAAGACAGAGATGACCCCCCTTATATGAGGTACCTGGGGGAGTCACTCATAGGGACAGGAAGCAGAACTGCCGCCAGGAGCAGGAGGAGGAACTGGGGGGTTGTTCAATTGATACAGAGTTTCAGTTTTATAAGATGAAAAGTTTTCAAGAGCTGTTACACAACAGTGTGAATAAACATAAATGAAATGCACACTTTAAAACAGTTAAGATGGTAAATTTTGTTATTTTTAACCACAATTAAAAGTAAAAATAATTTCATAATAAAAAATTTGAAAAAGCAATTCCTAAATACTGAAAGGAAAATGTAGTGAACCTAATTGTATGTATTCAGTTAGTGATATAAGCACAGAGAAACTATTTCAAGTAACTTTAAAAACAATGGTTGTACTATATACAGCCAAACAGTAAAATAACAACCAAACACAGAAAAACAAACATGCTTTTAACTATTTTCAGTAATTATACTGCTGGTGGTAATGTTGGTATTGCTATTCTAGGTACTGTGGGATAAAGTGATGAAAATAGAATATAACAAAATTACCCCCATCCCAAGTGACTCTGAGAACTGGGAAGGGCATTTTCAGAAGAAGGAGATACACATATGTGAGACAGAGAGGTCAAGTAAAAATCCGAAGTCTGAATATAAATTAACACTATACACATGTTTTGACTTTAAAAACAAAAAACACCCCGTGCACACATCGCCCTCACACAGCCACTGAAAAGGCCTAGAGAGTCAGCAGCGCCGTGGCGCGTGCATCCTGACACCCACACCGCTCCAGCGAGAGAGCGCCAGGGCTCCCTGGGCTGACAGCTGATTCAGGTCTGGGGCAGAAAACGTACCAGACAAGCCCTGAAAACTTGCTTACACCACACAGCAAAGAAGCTATCACAACCAATCAGACTCGGGTCGAAATTACTTGGGAATCAACCTGCAGATGTTCACTGCAGATCAACGTGGGACAACTTGAACACCAGTAAGAATAAAGCTACAGTGGATGGAAATCATCAAACAAATTCCTGCCTTCATAATGGTTTTTTAAAAATAATAATAATTGGTCACTGTGAGAGGATGCTAAACAATCAATTCCTTATTTTGAAAACTTGTAAACGAAGGAAAAGAGTCATGCTTTTATCTTGCCTTTACTATGTAAACTGTTTCACTGAGTAATAAGGGATGAGGGGCAATTTACACTAATAAATAAAGCAGAGTCAAGTGAAGAGACAAGTCATGGAATGGGAGAAAATATTTGCCAGCCATGTATCTGATGAGGAACTTAAATCTAGAATATACAACCCCTAACAATGCAATAACACAAAGATGATCCAATTTAAAAATGGGCAAAGAATCTGAACAGACGTTTCTCCATAGAAGATGTACAAACAGTACACATATCAAGATATACTCAAAATCATTAGTCATCAAGGAAATGCATTCCAAAGCCATATCTCCCAGGATGGCAAGGAAGAGACTCAGATAAGAACAAGTGTTGGCGAGGATGTGGAGAAATCAGAATCTGCATACATCACCGGAGGGAACAGAAAATGGTGCAACCACTTTGGAAAAGGGTCTGGTTATTCCTTAAATGTTTAAACACAGACCTGCTGAATGACCCAGCAATTCCACTCCTAGGTATAATATTTAAAAGAAAGATGAATGTTCCCACAAAAAACTTGTACACAAATGTTTATGGCAGCATAATTCATCACAGATAAAAAGTGAAAAAAATGTCCATCAACACATGAATGGATAAACATGGTATATCTATACAATGGAATATTATTAGGCTATAAATAGGGATGAAGTACAGATGCATGTACCACACAGATGAACTTGAAAATATTAACCAAAGTGAAACAGGCCAATTATAAAAGATTACATAGTATACGACTCCACTGATATGAAAGGCAACTAACTCTACAGAGACAGAAAGTAGAACCAACACTTAGGGCTGAGGGGCCGAGAGCGAGATGACTGCTGAAAGGTACAGGGCTGCTTTCTCACGTGATGAAACATTCCAAAATTGGCTGTGGTTGCACTTGTCTGTGAAGATGCAAAATAACCCACTGAACTGTACATTTAAGATGGATGAAGTATATGGTATGTGAATTATATCTCAATAAAACTGTTTTAAAACAATGATGGAAAAATAAAAGAAAGCAGTAAAGATAAAAATAGAATGTCATTTTGCCACCCCTAACCAACTAGGGATATAAACACCCTGTTGCAGTATCAGAGAGATGCCCTATACCTGGGCCTCCTGATGGAAAAGAATCTATGAAGTAGACTGAACCCACATGTGATTAAACCTCTAAACCTAACTATTTATAGGAAACACAGAAGAAAAAGGAGCATGGTAAAGAACCAGTTAATGAAACAGCAAAATCCCCAAGACTGTCAGAAACTGTTAAGACCAGCAATCCAGTTTCTTCAACCCATAAACTGCAAGAGAGAAAAAGAGATGAAAGGAAACCTATAAATAGAGATTTGTAAGACATGACAACCAACTCCAATGTGTGGAACTCATCAAGACTCTGATTAAGTGTAAAAAAGAAAAATCATTTATGACCTTTGAAACTGAAATTTTAACAATGACAGGATATACAGTATGAAGGAATTATTCTTTTCAGATGTAAAATGGTATTGCCATTATATTTTTAGAAAGAGAGTACATGTTTAAATTCATATTAAATTCAGGAATATTCTGGCGGTCCAATGGTTAGGACTTGGCACTTAATACTGTCCAAGATCTGGGTTCAATCCCTGGTCAGGGAACTAGGATCCCACCAGCCATACAGTGTGGGCAAAAATAAATAAAAAAAATAATAAACTCAGATTAAAATAGGGGGTATTTAGGACTTGCTTCAAGCAAACCGAGGGGAAGCGGACATGGTAAAACTGGCTCTGCATCGATGTCCTGTCTGTGGTCAGTGACAGGTTCGGAAAAATTCATTATACTTTTTTTTGGTCCGTTTAAAATCTGCAGTAAAAGATTTTGTTAAATCTCAGATAAACTAAAAAAAAGAAGAAAAGGAAAGAAAAAAGAAAAAGAATTCCCTACGATAATGCAGACATTTCTAACCAGGCACTCCGTCCCTGAAGTATAGACACAACATGTAAAACGCAGTTACCATAATCCCAGCAGAAGACACGAAAGACATTTTGAAAGGTGGCATGAATATTGTTGTGTAAAAGAACAGGAACATCTGTATGAGGCAGTATCTGTTCAGGAGGAGAGAGGTTGGGCTGAAGGTGCATCACAGACATGCCCACAAAGTCTTCTGCGTCACCGTATTTGAAGCAGATACCCAGGGTATTAAAAAAACACAAAGACTTTTCAAAGTCAAAAAGCACAAGATTCAGAAACAAAAACAAACTGAAAGAAAACCACAGCTCTATGTATGCTAAGACATCTCTATATCCTAGAAAATGATAGGAGGGAAAATGAAGTAGGTGAAAACAGCTTATCACAGGGATTTTTTTTTTTTTTTTAATGTTCCAGGTCATTGGAGAAGATAGAAAGAGAAGAACTCCTTTTAGTACTGACCATTCAATACATACCATGAGCTTTTCTTCTAATCTGTTAGAAGCAAGAGCCAGAAATAGACACAAAAAATGTGTGGCAAGGTAGAAAAAGAGTCCAAGGACTAAGAAAAGTAAGATGGCTTGGACTCTCCAAAACTAGCTGATGAGATACACAAAGAATCAAAGAGGAATCCATCTACCATCACCGCAATGTCAAGGAGCCACTGTCATCAATATGAAAACACCCAGAAGCCCCAGTCACCTTATCTAGATGTAGGTCTTCTTATCCTAATGTTTTTGTTTACAAACATTATTTTTTCTGAGGAGTTTAAGGCAAAATCCAGCAGAAACTACAGAGTTCCCAAATACCCCTGTCCCCCCTCCCCCTTTCCAGAACAGCCTTCCCCCACTATCAACATCATAAACCAGTGGGGTATATTTGTTGCGGGGCTTCCCTGGTAGCTCAGACAGTAAAGCATCTGCCTGCAATGTGGGAGACCTCAGTTCAATCCCTGGGTTGGGAAGATCTCCTGGAGAAGGCAATGGCAACCCACTCCAGGACTCTTGCCTGGAAAATCCCATGGATGGAGGAGCCTGGTAGGCTACAGCCCATGGGGTCGCAAAGAGTCGGACACGAATGAGAGACTTCATTCATATTCGTTGCAATCAATGAGCCTACACTGACATGTCACTGTCACTCAAAGCCCATAGCTGACATTAGAGTTCACTCTCTGTTGTACATTCTGTGAGTTGTGATAAATGTACAATGTATGATATAGAATAGCACTGCTGCCCTAAAAATCTCCTGCACTCTGCCTCTTCAGCCTTCCTTCCCCTAATCCTGCTGCAAATACTTCGTAACACTTTGTAAAAGTGACGAAAACAGACTGGAATGAGCATTTTCAGCCCTTAAGAAATCCCTATAGAGTCTACAGTAATAATGTGGGTCCCTTAGAGGTTATATTAACACCTTCTCTCCCTTTATTACGTACAAATACAGATTGTTATTGCTTCTAACAATTCACCAAAGCACATTTCCTAAATTCTTTTCTTTTTTTCTTTAACACAATGTACCGGCAGCTCATTTCTTCATAGTAATATCCATCTGTCCTCTGCTTGGACTGATTTCAGCACTTTTTAAAAAATCCAATAAGCTTTTCAAGGCAACTCAGCTTGTTTCCTGTGGCTGTCAAAAGGCAAAACCAGGCCTTGGGCAGAGGCTTTTATTTTCCATCTGCACATTTTAACAATATAGCTTACAAATCGCTAAAGAAAACATCTGCTGATTTCTGATCCACACCTCCACACTGCTGTTTCCAAATAACTGGTTAAAGACTTCTCCCCAATCATTTAGAAAACAGGTTCTCTTGAAAAATGAGAGAAGAAAAGAAGAGAGAAGAGAAGAAAAAAAGAAAAGAGAAAAAGCGAGCCATCTCACTGAAAGTCTCTGGAGCTTTGTGAAGTTCTAGCAGTTATAACAGGAAGAAGTAATTCACTCTAATTGTCGAATTAAGAGATAGAAAATAAAGATCAAATTTGAACTGCATTCTGTTTTCAGAAACTAAAGGAGGTGATAAGTTTCCCCTCATGGAAATAAATCTTATAAAAATTAAAAAAGGAAAATATTCCAGGAATGGCAGTCTTACGTTGATTTCCTTGCAGCAACCAGTTTTGAGGGAAATACCAGTCCCCAGGACCCTGGCCTCTTCCATCAAAGCCAGTACTTAAAAAAAAATTTTTAATTCTCCTTTATTCTTCATCGATAATACTAACAACCATTTACTGAAAAAATACTATGTGCTAAATAAACACTTTATAGTCAGTAATAATCATTAACCTCTCATCACAGAACTATGATGTAGGCATTACTGGCCCCATTTTACAGAAGAAAACAGTACTTTTTAAACAGCAGGTTTTAATTTTCTTACCCCAGAGAAAGGCATGATGTAAAATGAGCAAATTACCTTTGATTTTTCTTCATTTTCTCTATAAAATTCTGCCATCTGTTCCTCCTGCTCTTCAATAACATCCTTGAGGGTATCTACTTGGTATATCAAATTGTTCTTCTCATTGTCTAACTGTGCATTGGAAACCATGGCTTTCTTGTATTTTTCTTCCACTTCAGACAAAGACTCCTAAATGAAAGTCAGAGTCATCAGTCTGATATCTAAAATATGTTCATCACCTACAGCACAGGCACACACACAGGAAGACGCATTTTTGCAAAATACAAGCAGTTTTGGAAAATCTTTGTTTAGTGACATGCACATGAAACAGGAGGCGACAATAAGCCAAGAATGCCATTATAAGCACTTTATGGGCTCTCTGCTATCCAAGAAAACAAAATCAAGCAGCAACATAGCCTCCAAAAGACAAAAAAGCATGCAGACAACACGTAAGAGTCAGAGTGTAAAAGTCATAAAACGGAGACTCGTGAATGTTTTCAGAAATGTTGCTCCTGTGGTTTTCAACAGCAAGCTGTCTGGCACTCTGAGCGCAACGACAGGGATACAGCCTCTTTTTTACAAGCAGGCTTCACACCCCTTTGAGTCTCACCAATTCTTGGATCTCTGTTTTCAGTACCTTCCTGTTCTGCATAATGTTAATAAATGTATACACATTTTCTCTGGACATTATTCACATACTAGCCATTTAAAATAAGTTAAGCGACACAAAAACAATTATTTTCTTAAAGAGAGCTACCAGGAGAATTCCCCGGCGGCCCAGTGGTTAGGACTCCGCGCTTTCACTGCAGGGCCTGGGTTTAACCCCTGGCTGGGAACTCAGATAACACAAGCCTGGCTGCAAGCCCCTCCTCCCCACGCCCAAAAAAGTGCTACCACTGAATGCCTAAATTTTTATATACTTCAAAGTTTTCTGCCTAAAATAGCTTACAGTCTGTTTTTAAATAGCTGCTTCTATTTTGGTAGATTACTATTACCTAGCAACATTTTTAAAGCTAAAAAGAAAAACATTTCACATAGAAAAAGTCATCACTTCTGTATTTTTAAAATACTGATGCAAATGGTAAACAAAAGAGCAATGATATTTGAACTGAGGGTTCAGAGAGTCCAGAATCCTTTACACATTTATGATCAACTGATATTGGACAAGGGTGCCCAGACAACTCAGTGGGAAAGAATAGTTTTTTCATAAATGCTGTTGGGGCAACTAAGATCCACATGCAAGCAAATAAAGGTGAACTCCTACCTCACACCAAACACAAAAATTAACTCAAAATGGATCACAGTCCTAAATTAAAAGCCAAAATTATAAAACTCTTCCCCCAAAACACAGAAGTAAATCTTTATGACTGGCGTAGGCAGTGGTTTCTCAGATATGAAACCAAACTATCAATGTAAGAAAAAAACAGACTTAATCAAAATTAAAAACTTTTATGCTACAACTATATCATCAAGAAAATAAAGACCATGCAAAAAATGGGAGAAAACATTTGTAAATCTTATATCTGATAAGGTACCTGTATCTAGAATATATAAAGAATACTTATAAATCAACAATTAAAAGACACACAATTCAATTTTAAAATGGGAAAGGATTGATATTCCTCCAAAGAGGGTACAAAATGGTAAGCATAAAAAAATATTCTTAATATCATTAGTGATTAAAGAAATAAGATCAAAACCATAATGAGATACTACTCTAGACTGAATAGGATGGCTATTGTACATAATCAAAAAAAGAGAGAACAAGTGTTGGTGAGGAAATGGAAAAACCAGAATCCTCATCCATTGCTAGTAAGAATGTAAAATAGTGCAGCTGCTTCAGGAAAAGAGTCTGGCAGCAAGTCAGAATGTTAAACATAGAATTGCCATATGACCCAACACTTCTATTTCTAGGTAATCTGCTCAAGAGAAATGAAAAGATGTATCTATACAAAAAACTGGACACAAATGTTTATGGCAGCATTATTCGTAACAGCTCCAAACTATAAACAATTCAAATGCCTATCAACTAATAAATGGATAAACAAAATGTAGTAAATCTGTACACGGTAATGTTACCAATTTTTACATACACACACACACACACACACACACACACACACACACAGATGCATGTTATGACATGGATGAATCTTGAAAACATTAAGTAAAAAGTCAATCACAAAAGATGACATTGACTAGTGGTCTGGGAGTGAAGGAATGGAGAAAAACTGCTGATTAGTATGGGGTTTCTTTCTGGGGTAATGAAAATACTGTAAAACTGGTGATGTCTGTGCAACTGTGACTATACAAAAAAAAACCCAAACCAACCACTACACCGTACACTTTTTCAATAGGTAAATTTTATGGCATGTGAATTTTATCTTAATGAAGACACACACACACATACATACACTTAATTGTTCGCAAATCAGGAGTATATTAATGTTTTGGGGTTTTTTCCAGAGAAAATGAACAAACTTTTAGCCCAACCCCACACAATGCAGAATTTAGAGTGATTCTGATCCATCTTAGAGACAAATAGCAAAAAAGAAAAAAAAAGAAGAAGAAAAGTCATCCTCACAACTCAGTCCCATACAAAATGGGGCATGACTGCACGAACACCAGAATCTAAGGTAGTTTAAGCAGCAGCTCCAAGGATACAACATATAAAATAATAAAATTGACATAAAATGTGTGGAACGTACTTTTCTTTAAACAACAGACCACAGAGGACTAGTTTAAGTGTCAAGGTACTTTTAATGATTTTAATCTAGTTCACACAGTGATACCCAAAAGGAATTAGTCTACTTAAATATATCCAAGGAACTGATTTTCAGTGTAGGTTCTGGACTAGAAGCAACAACATTATCTAGGACCTGGTTAAAAATGAAAACTTTCAATAACCCCATCCTAGACGTTTTGAATGAGAGAATCTGGGAGTAGAGTCCAGCAATCTGTACTATTAATGAGACCCAGGTGATGATGGATGAAGTTGGAGTGGGGAAAAAAACCCCTCACAGGCAAACATACTTGAGAATAATGTCATAAGCAATGACCTACCATTCTTTTTTAATAGGATATGGGTACATCACACCACTGTGCTTTGACCACCAACTGGATGATTTCGTAAATGACTTTTTTCTTCTGTTTAAAAGACTCATTTCAAGGATAAACACAATCTGAAGTCAAGTTAAGTTATACACTATGAATGAAGGAAAGGGGTCTTATCTGTTCAGAGTCTCAAATAAGGTGAATCTGTTTTCTGTATCCTTCAAAGAATGCAATAAATGGTAGGTCAAAAAGAGGAAAATGTTAAAAATAAAATGACAAACAAGTAGAATTCCTCTGAATCATTTGCTTTCCTGATACATTATGTTACATTCAATACTTTAAAATGAATGTATTGATTGAAAGTCCTGGATTTGTTCCCTTGATCTGAGATATTTCCAAGTCATAGCTCCAAAACTTGAAGATGAGAGCAACGAGGCTGAGTGAGCACATAGGCACGCTGACTGGACTCTCCTGATGCTCACCAGTGCCCACACACGGCTGTCAGTGGTGTCTGGGCATCCCAGGAATGCTCTCCACAGGCCTTCCCACCCTTCGGTCCTGAGCCTTAACCGTGTGCCTTTTGGGCCACAGTCACCTGCGGGAAGGTCTCGGCTGGCAGTTGGCCCAAGTCCAGTCATGCCAGGGCAGCTGAGCAAAGCCTTTGCTTGTTAGGTTCATGCTGTGTTCTTGGGGCATCACCCAAGTCACTTTTCTGAATGCCTTGTCTGCATATTTTGAGAGGCCTGGTGTCTATTTCTATATTAAATAGGGAACTACCTGTGTTCAGAGAAACTTACAGTAATTCATATGTTAGATCTGCACTTTGTAAGAAAACACAGGGAAGAGCATGATAATCAAGTGCCATTTATAACTAACATGTCTGCCACACACCTACACTTCTATTGAAAACTGGTATCCATTCTTGCTACCATTTAAAAAGGGAATGTGTTAGTCGCTCAATCATGTCTGACTCTTTGTGACCCCATGGACTATAGCCTCTGTCCATGGAATTCTCCAGGCAAAAAGACTGGAGTGGGTTGCCTTCTCCAGGGGAACTTCCCAACCCAGGGATTGAACCTGGGTCTCCTGCATTGCAGGGAGACTCTTTACCATCTGAGCCACCAGGGAAGATCCCTATTTAAATTTACCTTCAAATTCTTTAAGGCACTGAATCTGTGTAACCCTTTTTGACCTACATGTAAAAAAACCACCAAAACACAGTCCTCATGCTTCAGGGTCTTTCCACCACAGGGATTATTTATAGGAATGCTCTCTCTCAGATGCTTCTTCTTCCTGTTTCTAACACTGAATTTGGTGACAGAAATAGGCAATGCTCTTTTGTTTAGCTTGGAAGAATTTTAAGGTTTAATTCTCAATAAAAAAAAAATATTCTTAGAACACTTCTTAGGTTTTTGCCTAACTCAATTTTGTAAGGCTAAGACACAAGGGATATGTAAGTATTTTACAAGGTTTAAAAACTGAAGCCGACTATCTTTTGCTGAATAGTCCCAAAACTACACCACACATGTAAATATCAGCAGAGACTGGAAGTTCGCCTTTCACTGCAGGTTAAGCACATGCTTAAAAGACAAACACGGTTAGTAAAGCCATGTGCAGTGGGGTTAAGAGAACTCGGGAAACCACCGTTACTGACACTTCTGCGCACAGAGAGCATGCTTGGGCTGCAGAAAGGGCCCTGATACCTTCAGTTCTTTAAGCCCCTGCATGTATCTCCCTTCTACATCCTGAATCTGGTCCTTAAGGTCATAGATATCCTGCAGGACATAGAATGAACCATTGCATAAAACCACACACGCCAAGTCTCAAAGGATTCATGAAAATGTGAATTACTTCTGTATAGACCAGGCCAAAAGAAGAGACAAGCTTAAAGTACACAAGCTTAACTGCCACTCCAAACAGACATGAGATGGTGGGGCCGGGGAAGGCCCTAGAGTAACCAATTCAACTTATTAAAAATTTTCTTGGCATTGATTCCTGTTGAAGCAATAATAGCAAACAGGGGCATGGCTGTGTATGGACAAAAGCTATCGCTTATAACATTTTTTAAAACACAATTTTGAAAATTGCATAAATCATTTAAATAATTTTGAGTATAACACTTCACCAAGAACTAGTAAAATATGTAGCAAATTAATTACAAGTTGAAAATTTTACTGAGTTATGCAGAAGTTTTTAAAAAATGGAAAACTAGATATGAACAAAGTTGTGTTTCAATGACTTGGTTACTGACCACAGTTCATTTGGGAGAAAGAGAAGGGAGGGAAATTAAACACAAACCTTTTTAAATACAATGTCAAATGAGACAGTCTATCCTGAGGACACCATTTAAATGATGAGAAAAGTATTTGCTCCAAATGTTACCATAATCCTTATAAAAAAAAGTAAAGCAGGTCAAATTTTAAATGGAAAATATTGTCTCTCTTGTACCCAACCTTGCTACATGAGATCTATTCTGGATGGTTGATTTAGGTTGGAAATAACAGCTACAGACCCTTGAACATAACTTTACAATTACAGGCAGGAACAATGGCCCATTGCACAGAGTTTCTACATTACATAACATTTCCCCTGCCTCTTCATTCCCTCCCCAGGGGGCCTGTTACTCCTCGGTTCCCTCAACAGACGTTTACCAAGCACCGATGCTGTGCTTGGTTGCTCAGTCGTGTCTGACTGCGACCCCACGGACTGTAGCCCGCCTGGCTCCTCTGTCGATGGGCATTCCCCAGGCAAGAATGCTGGAGTGGGTTGCCATGCCCTTCTCCAGGGGATCCTCCCAACCCAGGGATCAAACCCAGGTCTCCTGCACTGCAGGAGGATTCTTCACTGTCTGAGCCACCAGAGAGTGCCTACTAGGAGCCAGACACGAGCTCATTATACAAGCGCATTTCCTTCCAAGAGGTTGTAAATAGTGAGCACAAGCTGAGTCTGAAGCTGGAAAGCCCCATCCTTCTGTCTTTTGCTGGACTAGAAAACAGCATTTAAAGGCAAGAACTGAGCTTATTTACCTTGTACCCCCACGCTTTGCCTGGTACTAAGAGCTCAACAACACTGGCCCCTTCAAAGTCAGAGCTGGGGTGACCTGGGCCGCCGCCTGCACAGCCACGGCCACTGCCGCGACCCTCCCTAGCCTCTGCTAATCCTCAGCCCACTGTACAAGCTGTCCGTATCACACACCACCCCTGCTCCTGACTCGGTCACCCATGGTCCCTCCCTCCTCCTCTCCTGTGTCCGGGGAAGGGGCGCCCACCTCCCCCAGCCTTATCTGGACATTCCTCTCACCCACTCAGGCACTTTCTGTTCAGTTATTCCTCTCCTTAACTTCATGGTCACTCTCTAATGGCTCAATCCAACCAATGAAAATAATAACTAAGGCTGCCTTTAAAAGAAAGCAAAAACCCTCTCTTAACACTCTCTCTATTATTGACCAATCAACTTCCAGCCTCCAATACTCTCTTTCAGAGGAAGCTGCCTGCATTTCCTCCCATTACTGTTTTGACTTGCTCATCTCCTCCCCACTGTTCAACCACAGGGTAACAGTTCTCCTTGCCTCCAACGTTTCTTCCAGCCTGTGGTCAATCTTTAGGAATGCAAATCAGATAACACCGCTTCCCTGCTTCATATCCCACTGTTGTCAGGGTGAACCTGAATTCCTCTCAGGCGGCCACACAAAGTGTTTTGAGACGTGGCCCATCATTACTCCTCCAGCCTTCTCTCTCATCCATTACAAATCCTCACTTTCCAGCCTATCCTCTGGCAACTCTGATACCCAGATAACCTTCTGGTTCTCTGAATTTATCAGAGAACACCTTCACGCTTCAGCTTCTTTGCCTGGTTAATTTTTATTGTTCCTTCACTCCTTCTCTCCTCTGAAAAGCCTTGCATTATCTCTTCTAACTTAGATGATGCTTCTCTGAATTCCCTTAACAGTCTTACTCTTGCTACTATGATAGTACCACACCACCTGGCTTTACTGGTTTTTATTCACTTGTCTCCCATGTGAAACAGTGAATTCCTCAGGTTTCCAATTCCTCAGGTTGCCTGAACCTATGGGGCCAAGTGCTCGATAAATGTTGAATGAATGAATAAATGCAGTTTTTATTACTACCCTTGCCCCGTTCCTCACAAACAGGATGCTCAGCAAATAGACATTCATAGACATTTTGAAAGGGTTATTATTGAAGCTGGAGGCTCAACTAACGGGTTAAATGAGCTTTCATTACTCGGGTATTTCTGTCATCCCAAATATTATTATACTTGTCTTATCATGAAACTCTGAGAGATAACTGTATTCAGGCAGCCAAATAATGCTATAATGGCTCAAAAGACTAATAATCCCCAATGTCTGGTTCCCTGTACACCCACATATTTTCCATTTAAAATGTGGCCAATTATTTGAAAGGATGACTTTTATATACATTAGAAAGTTTTTTTGGCATTTGTAAACTAGCAGAACTCATTCCAAATACCATCAAATGTTCAGGAAAGAGAACAGAAAAGAATTAACTAATCTTCCTTTCAGACCCTAGTCACATTCTTGAACTGTATTAACATTTTTTTTTTTTTAAAGAACTCACACTTCTTTCCTTCCTACCAAATCACATTAAATGTTAAATGGTTCCAGTATACTACAAAGAAGTCAAAAATAAAAAATATTTATAAAAAGCAAAACAAAATGGCGGTTTACCCGCAATTCACTTAATGAGGTGTCTGGGTCTATTAAGCTGCTGGTATCCCCGCTTCCTCGCCTGGATGAGTTTCCACTTAGAGGGGTTGTTGCTGAGGCAGAATTTCGAGATGAAGGCTAGAGAAAAAGAAAGATGACACTTTTGAGTCTTAGTTCTTCAAAAATAAATTTGCTGTGGAAACTAAAAGCGGGGCAGGGTGACAGGAAGAGCTAACACAGCGTGGATAAGAAGTCACCGAACGCAGTCCACAAGCAATTTAGACGGGCCTCGGTGGGGAGCTGGGGAGGGGGGTTAGCCCGAGACGGGCCCAGGCATACTCGGCACTACTCGTGTGCTCACCCGTTTGGAATCTAGCATTCATAACCACTAAGAAGAAATAGTTCGTGTGAAGAGCTGTCTGTTTTCTAAGTTTATCTTTGCTGTACTGTAAACAGCGCTGGGGTGAGGACAGCAGCTTGATTTTAAACAGTTTCAGAATGCTATGTTGGCATGCTAATCATTAGGTTCCTGAAGCTGCTTCTTTAGAACCTTCTCTTTTACCAACGCTTTGTCGATAAAAGCTGGAGACACTGTCTGCAGCTGAGAGCAACAGCATTTCGCCCTCAGCTGCGGATGATGCTCCTGATTAATAAACGGCAGAGATATGGGATGTTCAATTAATTCAGCAGACAACTAGCCACATGTGGCAACTGAGCACTTGGAGTGTGACTGGTCCAAATTGAGAATTCTTTCTCAGGTGTGAAATACACACCAGATTTCGAAGTCTTGATATGGAAAAAAGAATGTAAAATATCTCACTGATAAGTTTTCATGTTGGTTATGCTTAAAATATTTTGGACATTTGGGTTAAATAAAATACATCATTTGAATTAATTTTATCTGCTTCCTTTTACTATTTTAGTGGGACTGCTAGAAAGTTCACATGTGGCTTACATTTGTGGCTTGCACTATATTTCTACTGCACAGAACTGGCATATCATTGGGGACATAGCAAAAAATTAATCCAGATAATTTCCTAGGATGACTTTCTAAAAATGTTTCTAGAAGAAAGTTAGAGACTTTTTTTTTTAAACACAAAGCAACTCCTAAAAAGGAATTATTTCACTTCAAAGAAATAATTTATCTATACAGGAAAAAGAAAGAAAACCTTCAGTGTTTGTCACCACCATTTCTAAAGACCTTCCCCACTTTCAGTGTGTAATGGTTTCTTCTCAGGATGAAATTCTAGAGGAATGAAAATCAAAAGAGCAGCCACAAGTTTAAGAAGTGACATGCAAGGAAACAAAATGCAGTGTCTCTTCTCTTCCCAGGGCTTCACATGATTCAACTGCAGAGGAATTTGGGGGTCAAGGACAGGAAGTAGATGAAGAAAGGAAGAGTAACTCCATCAGTTAAACTGTTGTAAAATCAAGAATAAAATAGTAGTAGAAAGTAAGCTAGTGATCTCAAGAACTTAATTTCCTTAGGAATTTATATACTCACCCTTGTGTAATTTTCAGCATACTGTTTATCAGATTTTTCATCCAACTAGAAAAGAACAGAGATAAAAATCAGAAAAGATGTTGAGCACTTTGATTTTTTTAAGGGGGAAGAAAAAAAGAAGTGACACCATTTGAGTTCTCCAAGCTCAACTGATATTTGGATCCTAAAAGTAAACATACTAAAACTGAAATAAAAGTTGGGACACAGAAGACAAGATGTTAACTTCAATTCTTATTCAAGGAGGACAGAGTAAGCGTGCTATCCTTACGAAAAAAGTTAGAACTTTTGCATAGATTTTTCTTTTCATGGTATTTGAAACAAAGAAAACTGCATATAAATGTAAACTCTAGCATTGCAAAAGTTACACACACACAAAAATACTCATACATGGAAGAAGAAAAAGTGTGATAAAACCAAAAGCCAACAAACTTTATTACATTATTAGTACACAGGACACATAGATAAGGCTAGCGCACTTAGCCAAAAAAGTTCAGACTGAACTACAGTATGTTAAATGCATCCTCAAAAAAATTTCTCCACAGCCCAAGGATTTGGTTGTATGGTTTTCATTTTTGCTTTTTAACTAATACATGCACATATCTAAAAAGAGAAAAAAAATCAAACAGCACAAAGGGTATGTGCTACCCTCAAGGGCAGTCTACTCCCAAGTCTTTACAAAATTCTAACAGTGGTGTCCCAAAGACATCCCATATAGTCTTTTTTCCCTCACTGTGTTTCAGAGATTAGAGAAAGTATTTTTCTTCATGGCATTTATCACTCCCTGACCCCATGATACTTATTAATCTATTTATTATCTGATGTCTCTCTTTAATGTAAACTTCATGTCTGTACATTCTTTTCTGTATTCCTAACACCAAGAATAGCACCTGGCATACAGAAGAACTAAAACCTTGTCAGATGAATGAAAAAACGAACTATCCTCCTTCTGCACCTGCAGACTGACCTCCTTTAACAGCTGCATAGTACCCTACTGTCTGGACATACCATACTAGTTATCCTCTCTCTCAGACAGGCCTTACGGTTGTTTCAGTCCGTGTTTCAAGAAGAGAAGTACCTTAAAGGTCTCGGCTAAAACTCTGACTTTACAGCTGAGGAAAGAGAAATTTCAGATCTTGCTGAAGGATGAACAACAACTAAATGCCAGAGCAGGATCCAGATCTTAGTTTCATCAACTGTTCATATTATTTACCTGTATATATTGTCCCAATTACCACTAGGGAGAAAAAAGTCACACAGAGATTTAACTAAATGAAAATATACCTGGACCCCAACTTCCAGACCAATATTCCTTCCAACCCAATCTAGAGCAGAGATTTGCAAACTGTCCTCAGTTAATTATTAAAACACAAAACATCATTATTTCTGGCTCAGTTCAGATCACTTCACTCTAACTTCCTCATATTTGAAAGTTTTCCCTTTTTTTTTATTACTCACATTTATCATGTTCATTGTCTATCTCAGTAAACACCTTTTTCTATAAGTACTAAATCAGAACATAAATCCTGCCTTAGACTTTGAATTCTTTTTGCTGCTTCTTACTACAATACTCTTAAAAAAGAATGGACATTACTTCATTCTGACTTCTTAAACCACATATGAAATGTCTTAAAACAAACAAGCAATAACAGTAGTTTTTCATGTTGGCAAATACTGCCATAAGGAGGAATTACCTTCCTCATATCTATACTAGTAAAAATATATTGCTTAATATTTAACATGTTATTCCTCAGAACAAAAGATATACTACATCTAAATAGACTGCCTTATTCTCCTTAGAGTACCTTTCAACTCTCTTCTCTTAATGAGTTAAAGAGAAAAACAGGCAGCATTCAGAAACAATCTTCCAGGCCCATCTGAAATTCTGTCCCTTAATTCGCTCTCACACAAATGACCCCCAACCCACCCACCTTTTAACAGGCAGTCACCTGAGAGAAATCTTACAATCCAGAGGATGTATCAGTGACCTGGTCGACCACAGGAATGATTCTCCTGCTGTCACTACCCTCTGACAGAACTGCCGCAGCCCAGGCTGATCGCGTGCCAAACTTCAGGACTGTGGCGGCAGCAAAAGCGCTGAGGCCAGCCCCACCGCAGCCCATTATTTTGGCGGCAGGGACTTGGCCAGAGACTCCCCAGTTCGCCTCCTGTGCGAACTTATGTGCCGCCTTCCCTTCAGACAAAAAGCTAGCTGAAACCTGGTATTCTAAATGCCCCAGGAGGTCTACATAGCTGCACTGCAACAAGAAGCTAGTGTCCAAAATGATGACCCAAAGGCTCCACCAGATCCTGGAAAGGATCTTAAACGGAATAAAATGGAATCATATTTAATATGCTAAGGTATAAAAGAAGGAAATGCTGCTGGTAAAAGGGTACAAACTTTCAGCTGTAAGATAAACAAAGTCTGAGGATCTAATGTAAAATATGGTGACTATAGGTGACTTTTCAAAAATTGTTGTTTATGAATAACACGCATGAATATGTAGTAATATGAAAAATCAGAAAACAAAGGCTCTATGTATAATACGATATGGTCACAATTTTGTAAAACAAGCAAATTAATCTGAGATTGAAAAGAATACTGAAAATAAATCATTAGTAAAGACCTCAGAACTTGCTTATGAATACTGACGACAGCTTACTTAGTCTCAAAAATTTTCAAGTACATGTTACGTGTCATTACATTCCCAAATAATTAAATACGTAGTTTTCCAATCAAGAAAAGGGTCTCCTTGATAGTTGGAAGTGGAAAGCTAGCTAACAGGCTTGTAATATTTTACATTTGTATTAATCTGCAAAGAACACATGATGGCAAACTTCATTGCTTCTTTCAAGAATTTCAAATTATCAACCAGTAAACAAAGTGTCAACTGTCATCTTTTCTTTATTTCAGTGATAAATGCCTTTACCTTATCTATGTCTGGGAAATCTGAAATACTTTGCTCTTAACATCCTAGAACACAGATTGTTTCTCTTTAAGTCTAAACTTTAAGTCTAATATAATTTAATCTAATTGTTTAGAAATAAAGATGCATTTTGTTCCAAATTATATTTCTTTTTTAAAAGGACACTGGAGATTTGATATAACTGAGCTACGCGTATCTGATATGGAGAGCCACTTTCAGCAAGCAGCAACCATTCTGTCACCCATAACATAAATCTAGTATAATGTGTGACCAAGAGATAAGAGTATTATATTAAGCCATTTGAACAAACTTTATTTTCTAAGGTATAAGGTATAAAATTATCATCTAGTGAAGTATTTATAGTATAGCTTGCTTAGGCTTCCCCGGTGGCTCAGCTGGTAAAGAATCCGCCTGCAATGCGGGAGACCCGGGTTCTATCCCTGGGTTGGGAAGATCCCCTGGAGAAGGGAAAGGCAACCCACTCCGGTATTCTGGCCTGCAGAATTCCATGGACTGTATAGTCCATGAGGTAGCAAAGAGTCGGACACAACTGAACGACTTTCACTTTTCTTGGCTTAAAGCAGTCACTGGAGTCTAATCCTTTGTTAACTTCTAATTTATATGTATATACTGACTTGATAATGTTATTTAAAAATTCTATTTGGAGAAAACCCTAAAAAACAGAAGATCTGACTCCCCAACCATAGAAGAGTAAGTGTGAGTTGCTCAGTCATGTCCTGCTCTTTGCAACCCTATGGACTGTAGCCTGCCAGTCTCCTCTGTTCGTGGGGATTCTCCAGGCAAGAATACTGGAGTGGGTTGCCATTTCCTTCTCCAGGGGATCTTCCCAACGCAGGGATTGAACCCGGGTGTCCCACCTTGCAGACAGATTCCTCACTGTCTGAGCCACAAGGGAAGCAACCATAGAAGGGAAGGGAACAATTAGTAATTTCCTAAAGCAAAACTAGCTGAGGAGTCCATTCAGAAACAGTCTAATCATTAGTAATCAGTAAACCTACAGTTAAGCCCATTTACATTCTTCTCCTTTATTCTAGCCCAACCCAAGGGACAGAAAGGGAAACAGTGCAGAAGACAAGACAAGAGGCAAAAGCAACCACACTGTGACCAGAGTCCTGCCAAAACAGGGCCTGGCACCTTTTCCAGCACCTTCGAGCTGAGATGTTATAAACTAGCAGACTGTTACGCATATGTTGATCCACAATGGGGAAGCCAGAAGCTATCCTTTGAAATTTTTAATTCACTGTTAGCATTTTAAAATTGAGATATTTCACAAGGATTCTTTTTTCAGAACAAGTGGTAAATATTGGTTTGTCCTTTGTTTCTCACATTTTCTGAGCAATATTAAACTGGTTTAGGTCTTCCTGTCCCTCTCCCAGCACCTCAGTAAATCTTTTTTAAACTGTATTTAGTATAAAATGTAGTCCCTATAGGCATTAATAAGGAATTTGTTCCAAACGTCACAGGATCATATTTAACAAGAAAATTCCTTTATAGATCATTGCTTCATGCCAAATTAAGCTGTCCCGAAAATGCCCAGACTGAAAAAAATATTCATTTGCTTGCTGAATAAAAGTGAATACGTCACTACTTAAAAAAAACCCAGAGATATTTCACATAAAAATGCAGATTTCAGCTTATCCTTTTAAAAAGCATATGTGTGAGGGAGTGAGGGGTGGAGATCTTACCAACATCAAGTCCACTTTTTGTTTATAATGAACTGAATTACAGTATAACCTTTAGAGGAAGTAATATTAGACAATTTTTTTTTTTTTTGCTCTAGACAGGAGACCAACATATACATGTATTTTAGGCTGTGCCGAGAGGCAAAATTAAGGATATTACATAGGTACTTAGACAACCATTCAGGAAAAAAAAAAAAATCACTTCGGCTCATAGGCTATAAAACAGGGTGCTGGCCAAGTTTACCAGCTAACGCTCTGGACAACTTTGTGCTTATGTTATAAGGTGCATAGCATGATTTGATATACATATGCATAGCCTATACGGGGGCTTCCCTGGTGGCTCAGTGGTAAAGAATCCACTTGCCGATGCAGGAGATGTGGGCTCTGTCCCTGGATTGGGAAGACCCTCTAGAGAAGAAAATGGAAACCCACTCCAGTATTCTTGCCTGGGAAATCCCATGGACGGAGGAGCCTGGCAGGCTACAGTCCATGGGGTTGCAAAACAGTTGGACATGACTTAGCAACTAAATTAACAATAAGAAGCCTATATACATGTGTATCAAATCCAAATCATTAGTTATATATCTTAAATATGTATAATTTTTATTAAAATGTGTAGATAAATCAAAATAATTACTGGGAGAAGAGTTTCATTTAATTAGAAGCAGCAGTGGAAGACTTTAAAAATAAAGTCAATCTTTTCACTTCTGTATAGCTACTAAAATAAACTGCGAAGAAATAAACGTAAGAAGGATATAACCAGTAATTCAGACATCATATTAGGTGCTAAACGGATTCAAAGTTTTTAAGAGGAAGGGTATACATAATAAATTAAATTTAGTATATCTATGAAAAAACAGGTTAATAAGCAAATTAATGAAACAGGCAGTATTTCGGGGGAAGGACCTGGGAGCCAGTCTTCTAACTTGGGTGCAGAGAGATTCCTTGATCTGATGAAAGCCAAGACGGGGGCTGTTGCTCAGCCAGCTTTGAGAGCCAACCATCTGGAATACTTGAGGACCACACTTAGAATTGGTTTCTAGGATTAGTCATTCCCAAGTAGCTATTTAAATACAATCTGTGATGTGCTAAATATAAATAACTATCTCTTCATTTTAAAAAAGTGTCTAATTTTTTGTTAAGAAACTCGGCCTCATCTGATTCAGAGAGTTGATAACTAGAGCAGCTGTTGGTTCAAGGGCAAAACAACACAAAAACAACGCTAATGTCAGCAACAGAGAGGTGTCACAGACAGAAAATCAGGCTGTTAGATACACCAGGCAGGTAGACATCTGCTGCTGTGGGTTCCTTCATTAAGGTAAATGCCTCCAGGCATTTCTACTGGACACTCTTTCCTAAATGCAGTTCCCAATGAAAGTGAGGGCTTCCCAGGTGGCCCAGTGGTAAAAGAATCTGCCTGCTAATGCAGGGGATTCAGGAAACACGGTTCGATCCCTGATTGGGAAGATCCCCTGGAGGAGGAAACGGTAATCCAGTCTAGTATTCTTGCTGGAGAATTCCATGGACAGAGGAGCCTAACAGGCTACAGTCCACGGGGTCGCAAAGAGTTGGACATGACTGAGCAGAAAGCACACATAATGAATGTGAAAGCAACGGACAGGCATTTCTTCAAAAACAATGCCATAACCCAAATGTTCAAATCTATTCGGATTCTTCCCAGTTATGATAAATTAGTGACATTTTACTAAGTAGTGTATTTTATTGTTCAACTGTCAAAGTCCACCTAAAAATTTATAGATTCACCAAAATGAAAAGGCAAGAAAAATTTTAAGACCCATCAGGAATATCTAAATATTGGAAAGATACTAAATGGTTTTAAGGAGTTTTTTATCCTTTCATTAGGTCTGATACAATAAATAAGAAAAAAGTTCTTAACTAGGGAGGCACACTGAACTATTTGGAAATGGCATGATGTATGGGATTTGCCTTAAAATAATTCAGGGGAAAAAAGAAGGGAAAGAGGAAGAAATATATGAAACAAAATTTGCAAAATATCAGTAAGTGTTCGGGCTGCTCCTAGAAAACTTCCATAGGAAAAACTTTTAAAAAATAAAAACATATCAATGTATACATTTTGAAACAAAACAAAAAACTATTTAATGCTAGTGTACTCAAATAAATTAAATCCTGATTTTAAAACAGCTGTTAGTCACAAGCCTGAGACAGTGGGTCCCCATGCGCTGCACTCACGCTGGTCAGATCTGGGATGCTCACGTCATCCACGTCGGAGACGACGCTCCCCCTACGATTGGAGCGACTAAAATAATCAGCAGCAGAAACCTTTCAGTTAGAAAAAAATGAGATGCTTTAAAATTAAGGAGAGAGAGAAGAAAACGATAAGAACATTGTCATATGGGGGGAAACTTTTTTTTCTTTTTGTGTGATAAAGTATCATGAAATGAAATGAGGAAAGTGCTGTGATTTCCTACTCAAGAAGGTAAGAAAGAAATGTATAGGGTTCCAAAATGACATCACAGCTCCCTAAAATAAACTCTTATTAATTTTAGCTAGAGTTCTATGCTACAGAGATCATCATCTACTGACTGAAGAGGAGCATCACCCTCACCACGAGGGATTCTAGGATAGCATTTACCTAAAGCCGCTACTATATGCCACAAATGTATAATGCATTATAGCTATCAACTCGGTTAAGCACATATATGTTGAATGCAGAATTACCTGCAGAGTATTTATTGTACCTTTTACCAAGTTTCCAGTTTCCCCTTTTTCATATTTCTCAGGACCAGGAACTGTAGAACAAACAATGAAGGAACTACACTGGCCTCTTTCTTGTTCCCTAAACACAACAGTCTCTTCTCACCTTAGCTGTTGGCACTGGCCTAAGAACTCTCAGTTCAAAGGTCACCTCCCTTGGAGACGCCTTCTCTGATCACCCCATCCCGAAGTGACACACATTCCACTCAATGTCCTCTATCACATCACCTGCTTTTTCTCTTCACAGTCCCTGGGTTTACTTTCTCTTTTTGTTTCTTCCTTTACCAGTCTTTTTCCTATTTCTTTCATTAGGATGTAAGCTCCATAAAGTCAGCAATCTGGCCCATGTGGCATACCACAGCATTCCCAGCACTGAACACTGCCTCACATATAACTGGTACTCACTCCATAAGCATTTGTTGAATTAAAAAACAATAAACATTTGTTACCTCACTCATCAGCTATTGCTTACTTCAACTCTGTCTGATTACTTTGCTCAAAAACTCTTCTCTTCCAGAAAGGAATCTGGAAGCCCATCCACACAGATGCTTCCTTTAAGGCTTACAAATATGAAGTTTTATGAAGAGCTGAGATGATCAAGCAGTAGTATGCTTGTTTACAGTAACGCAACTTAAAGTTACATATAATAATACTATTAAGGTACCCACTATCTCAGAATTTCGATAGTTCATTTACTCCATATATTAAGCCTACCTACAAAGATAGTCATTACATGCTCGTTAAAGAAATAAAGAAAGAAATAAAAATAATAAGTAAATAAATTGCTGTTAATACAACTAATGGGCTGGAGCAACAGTACAAGCCCCTGCCCTTCCCACTCCGTCACCTTCCAGGGTGTTTTCGGGCGTTGGGGACTGCTCTTTCTTCTTCAGCTGTGATTATGAGCATTACCTGGCTTGCCAAGGAACCAAAACTGGCTTAGTTCAATCACTGTATTTCTGGCAACAAAGCTCACAAACTCTCGCTGTTCCCCTTTTCTATGAAAAATCTGGGTTTACAATCTTTCACAAAACATGACTCAAAGTAAATGGCCTTCTAATTTCTTAAAGGAATTATAGCCTCTATAGCCTCTCAGTTATTGGGCTCTCTTTTTTTCTTCTAGCTCTAAGCTGATACACCATTCTCCTCGATGTAATTTTCGATTCAGTTCTTAATATAGCAAAAATGTCATCAGCTCTCTGTAAAATTCCTTACTTCATAAAAAAAAAACCTGAAATCATATAATTTATATTCTAACATAGCTGTTTCTTACCTTTACAATTGTAACTCTACTTGAATTCTAAGACAATATTTTTAAATTTTGCCATCAGCAACTCAAAAAATTCACAGGTCTTAAAAGATATATAAACAATAGTTAAATACATAGCGAAGAAAACTACTAATTAATGGCAGCATGATTTCTAATCCATAGTAATGAGTTTTAAAGAATGTGGAAACATTAATCTTATTTGAGAATTTTTTTGTTTTTGGTGAACTGTGCATATACATGCATGTGCATAAAACAGCAACAAAGAATAAAAAGTGAAAATCTGTCAAGTACATAATGACTAGCACATAAGAGGTGTCATTAGGAAAGCTTACACAGCCCACTGAGAAAATGTATTCTCAGGAATACATTTCTGAATGTAAATTATTCATATAAACTAAATTGGAAGAAAATACTCATTTCGTCAAGTGAAAATTTCATTTTGCAATAGATTTCATATGATCACACAGTGTTGCAATTTTAAAACATTAGATGTGTTTGCATGCAGAACACGCTCACCACGCTGTCCCTTCGCCCACGGCTGGCACAACCAGAAGATGCAATGCTTGCAGTGTCATCGTCGATAAACTATGGATATTAAAAGCAGATAATAACAAAGATGTAGTTTCACTATAGGTCTTCCCGTGACCATAAGCACAGGAAGGCAGGCTTTGGGAAGCACGCAAATGCTCTCTATGAGTATTGATTCTAATTAGCACCACTATTGTGCACCATTAAACCAAAAAATTGTTTTAAGGCATATTGAATAATCACCAAAAACCAAAAGGTAGTTCCAAAAAGCACAAAGATTAAAATAGTATTTACTTTAGCTTTTAAGTTAAATTAAAGAAAAAGGGGGGTGAAGCATGACTACTAGCCAACACTTGCTAGGGACCTCATGCTTTTTAAACCTCTAGGCCCTCTGGGATCCCCTGATTACAATGAATTATAATCTTATAATTCATTAAGTCAATAAATACCCTTTTAGTTGGGGAGAGAAAAATAATCTCCTCAAATGAAACAATATGTCAAACACAGAATTTCCTACCACCAAAGACACTGAAATGATGATTCCTGTTGTCCTTTATTCACTCCCGTGCAGCACATGCAGGTATTTCTAACATTACTGCACAGTCCCTGCCCTCTTTCATCAGCAGTGGAAGATGCACCTTCAGTATGTGGAGGCTGCCCCCATTCTGACGTCACTGAGGAGCCATTCTGGCATCACTGGGGTAATAACTCTGAGTCCCAACTTGCAAATGAGATAACATTTAGCCAGCACACAAGGACAAGATTCTACACTCGACTAAAAACATTACCATAAATTTTTTTGTTTTTTTGCAAGGGACGATCACAGCTGGGACACTAAAAATGCCATCAGGCTCAAGAGTTGCAAAGTGGAATTTTATTACCATGTGGGTTAAAAATAAACTTCCTCCTGTGAAAAATCTTGCATCTCCTTAAACATCCCTGTAATAACTTTTTGCTAACTGTAACAGTGGAATCCTTGATAAATGTCACTTGGAAATGGCAGGAGAAATGAGTCAAACATCTACATAGAGGAAAGTCCATATAACTTGTCTATTCTATTCCACAAAGTAACCTATGCTGACCTTTAAGAAACTGCTTAATAATTTCTCCAATTTTAATATCAAGAATAATAAGGTAGTTCCTAAAAAAGTCATAATTTGCTATTAAAAATAGTAATTAGTACAGTCTTTTTGGTGAGTAATATGGTGATATACATAACTTAAATGTACATACTCTTTGGTTCCCATCATTTCATGATTAGCAACTTACCATGCAGATCTACTCATAATATACTTGTATAAGCATGTTCACTGTACAAGTATCTGTTGTAGCAAAAATCTGACAACCTAAAAGCTCATCAAAATAGGAGCAATTTTTCAAATGTACAGCCCCAGCACTAACAGAATGATGATACACTGCCATTAAAAAAAAATGTGCTGACATAAAACTAATCTCCAAGAGGCACTCAGTAGAAATAGAAAGGGACATGACATACTTTTTAAAATCTTTTAAATGCCAAGAAAGAAAGAATAAAATAAATCTTTACATACTGATTTGAAAAGACACTGAGTAAAGAAAACAAGTTAAGCAGCATTATGGACACAAATCACTTGCATACTGTTCAAACAAAGGACACTCGTACAGACATAAAGTATCTCTGAAAGGATTTACACAAACCGAGGTTGCATTTAGGGGACAGAAACAGGAGAAAAGTCAGAGGACTTTTACTTTGTACTTTCCTTAAGCTAATATTACGTTTATAAATTTAAAGCAAGTTTTAATACTCTAGAAAGACTGGGTAATTAGAATTGCCCCAGTTTTGTGTTTTATGTACCAATTTTTTAAAGTTGACATATTTCATTTCTTCTTTCACTCCACTGATTGAAGGGCTAGGAAGCAAGTGGAATGGTTCAATGTAGAAAGTACAGATGAAAAGGAGAAAGAAAAAGGATAGGGCAGCCAATTCACACCCTGAATTACCCCCACTGGAAAAAAAACAAGAATTTCCAAATGAGAATTACAAATAAAAGAGAATTCTAATGGCACTAGCTTCAGAATCATTTAAGAATTATGTGCTAAGTCACATTCATACAGAAACCACCAATTCAGACAAATTAGTTCTTGAGTTTGTGTGCTGAAGGAAAATGGCAATCCATGCACAACAGGGTGAGACACACCACACCCTTGATATTCTGAACTGTGAGTGCAGATTAATGAACCAATCAGAAGTGTCTACAGGACATGCAGAGAGACCAGGCAGCTCACCACAGGACTGCTTCGGGATGAACTCGTTCTCGATGAGTGAAAACTGTATTCAGATGGCTACAAAGTTTCCAAGAAGACAGGTTTTACAATTACGATCAGCTCTTTTTCCCGCTGGGAGGACATCAGTGCCCCTGGACCTGCCTCACCCTGGCTCCCAGGTGAAGGTAACTGTTACTACCCCGGCTGGAGCCCTACTGCACTCCTGCCCTCATGACCCAGCTGCCCACGGCAAGAGCAAGCAGAGAACAAAGGGGTGCCCGAGAAGCACTATTCTCATCCTCTCCCCGAGGAACTAATGAGCCAGAAAGCGGTTTCTCTGCTTGTACTGCCTTCACACTTGAAGCCTCGGTTTGCAGCAGGCGCTCTCTCACAGCTTGGGGGAGTCGCAGTTGACAAGCTGATGGGTCACAGCGTGGAGAGTTATTACAGGTCAGATTAAATGGCTTTTCTCTCTGTAAGTAAACTGTGCCCACCTCCACATCGCCCTCCTCACCACCGCCCGCTGCTTGGACTTACAGCTCGAGAACCGTAAGGGTTATATAATCCACCGTTATACAGTGACACCTGAAGAACAAAGGGGATACCACTTAGACATTCGGCGTCAAAGTTATTTTGAAAATGATTAACTTCTTCAAAGTACTCAGCTCCAAAAAAGCTGAAGAACAGTGTTTAAGTGTACAGCCTCCTGAGGTGATAACACTCATTTATGTCTGCATAAATTCCCGCGTCAGCCTCAGCAAAGCTTCAGGATCACACTTCATTTCAAAAAGCACCACTGGTTACAGCATTGCCTTTCATCATCATGTTATGAAATTAAGAGAACATTTACCAATTTATCCTTTCAAAAGAGGGAAGAAAACAGATAAGAAAGTGAGGTACAGAAAGCTTTGCCCACTGTCACGATAAAATCAAGCACAAAGCCTCAGGTTCCCGGTCACTAGAAGAGGCCACAACGAAACAAACAGCCTGAAAGCAACCAACTCGTGATCGTACATTACACAGAGCGGTTCTTTTGGCTTTCGAGTCAGCTGGCTTCATTAGAGCCGAGTATTGACGTGGCCAAGGCCACAGCTGTTCCCCTGCAAAATATGACATCCCATGCCTAGGCAGCCATCTCACACAAGTATGCGAGTGGAGTGGAACCCATGCAAATCCACCTCGTCTAAAGGAAGCCAGTTCTAGGCAAGGGCCCACCAACAGCCAGCTCTATCTACCACTGTGAGAACACGCTCAGTTTTACCCCCTGGAAGTTTTGTACTTTAAGCAGAGGCAGCGCATTTTGCGGTACACACAGCACTAAAGCCATGTGCTTTAGTGACTATTTTGGAGGAAAGATGTCAAGCTAGAGCCAGCACCATGACAATGGTTCCGCCAAGAGTACACACGTTGGAAGTGGAAAATACAAACCAGACTGGCACTTCTCAGCAGACCAGAATTTACAGTGGAGGAGGCCTATGGAGAAAGCGCATGATTTAACCCAAAGGAACGTAACCAGCAGGTCTGCAGGCATCACACTCCTCAGGAAGTACTAACCCTGTAGCTCTTGGATGTTGCCAGAGGGTCGCTGTACAAGGAGGAAGACTGCTGAGAAACAAAAACAAAACACAAGCAAGAAAAGAAAGGAGAACTGGTCTCACAATCGTGAAAGCAGAAAGCCTATGTCTACTTTATATTTCGTAATTCATCAGTGATTCCTAAGCGTTTAAGGTAGTTAAGTGACACACAGTGAGAAAAACTTAACCATTAGACATCTCTTTGACTCTCAATTCTAAGGGCTCAGAAAGAAAAACACTTGGAACAGTTTTTTATAAATGTGTCTTAAGTCCCACTGGTCTTTGAACATCAAAGTCAGGAGATGAGAGGGCCACCTAAGAAAATGTTCTGAGAACAAGGGCCTGGCACAGGGAGTGTCACATACCGTGGCCACGTCGCACCAGTTACCAGAAGCTCCTGTGACACTGAATGGGCTTATCTTGATTACTGGGAAGTCAGGTAAATGAGCTCTGAGTTACTGCTATAAACACTCTTTTCCAAATGGATTAGGAAACCTATATTTCAGAACAAGCCATGGGCAAAGTGCCTTAGTTTAATTAGATAAATTATACTGGTCACAGTGAATCCATGCATTAAACAAGGCACAGCATTATTTAAAAAGGAATTAAATCTTTTTTCCTGATGTCATCTCAATACATTTTTAGTTCTTTTTCACTAAGCCCAATCAGACATGGAAAATAAGACTAAATCATGTATGCAGGTTTTAACAACTGAATTATTTTAAATGTACCGTGTGCCATATATTTAATATGTTCTAAATGTATGATGTGCCAAATGCCTTGAAAGAACAAGAGATTCTCACATTACATAATTATATTCTTCTCATCACATATTTTTTTGGTTGTGCTGCTCAGCTTGTGGGATATTAGTTCCCCAACCAGGGACTGAACTCAGGCCCTGGCAGTGGACGCACTGAGTCCTAACCACTGGACCACCAGGGAATTCCCTCTCATCACACTTATAGTTTGTATTTTCACATGTACATTTTTATTTAGTAAAAGGACATACACTGTGATATGTACTGATGTGTACAACTTATTTTGAAATGTGTCCTTCCCAAAAAGATGGGCTGATGGAAACACGGTGGGACAGACATAATTACATGATAAAGGAAATATAGTAAAAATGTCAATTGTCGAATCTGAGTATAGGTGTGTGGGTGGTTACCATACAATTCTTTGAACTTTTTTGTAAATGTTAAATACTTTACACTTAAAAAACTGGAAGAAATGGTACTCATTAATAAACATGGTGATTCAACATTTACCATCATTTAAAGATACACTCACACAGACAATGTGAAGTCAGTTATTACAAACCTGTACAAACACAGCCATTCACAGATTAGTCCTAACTACTCAAAATGCAAAACAGGGGATTAGAAATGTGTTAAAGCTGGATAAAACACATGAAGCCAAAAAAACCTTGTGACAAACCCGAGAACAGTAGGCAGAGGTGGGTTTGCTATGTCTAAGACTGCTATAGTTTCTTTGGTCAAAGTAGAGGCCACTCTGCAAAAAGCAAAATCAAACATATTTTTCTTAGGTTAAATGCTATTAACCTAACAACAATGAGAAAACTGGATATTGCCAATCCCCTTGGAATTATATTAAGTCAAAGTCAAAATAACAGCTATTTCAAGTCTCTCAAAAAAGACTAATATTAAAGGTTAACTTTTCAAACCAAATCATTGCTATTTTTTTTTTTTTACTTTAAAAAGAATATAAATCCTCAGATAAAATAGAAAGGAAATAGTAAGTGAATTATTCTCATGTCACACTTAGGAATATCCTTGAAAAACCCAGGACGAATGGATAATTACTGCTTTTATAATCTATTTAGAAACATCACAGAAATCATTAAAGCTATTTTTTTTCAAAACTCCTTCTAATTCCATTATTTGTCCAAATAAACTCATCAAATTAAATTACCAAAGAAAGAGTGTGAGCAGTAAATACGGTTTGGTCTAAAACATCTACGGCAGGTTCATCTTCAATATGCTAAGCCAAGCAATTACATTATTGATGTGCTTGACGGGGGGTGGGGGGGAATCATCTACAAAATTGCAGCCATCTCTTTTGCTCAAGGTTAAGGAAGCCCAGGCAATCCCTGACTGAAGGACGGCTCCTCCACTGCTGACAATGCAATAGGGGACACCCCCTCCTCCCATCGGAACCCTGCCCTGCCCGACCCGCCCGCACCATACCCTCTGAGAGGCACCATGACTCACTTCTCCCCAGAGCTCCCCATACTCCACCTGCCAGGGCCTCTCACGAATGTCCTCCCATCTCATCCTTGCCCCCTTCCTCATTTCCACAGCCACAGGCTCCCTCCCCTCCCCACCTCACCACCGGTTAGGGCCCTACCCAAGGGGGCCCCGAGTAGGCAAAGAGCTTGGGCTGCACTTCCTCCGCCAGTGCTGCCGCAACCAGACAGGGAAGAGATGTTCCCTGCACCCCAAGGGGGCGCTGTCGGCAGTTTTTTTTCTCCACACAGCAACACCATTTAGCAAGTTGGCTGGAATGGAGAACACTATCAGTCCTACAGTTTAATTACACTATAGGTTGAAGAATTTTCTGCAAGACAGCATGGGAATTCTGCCATCATAAACTTTGTTGTTTCTACCAGAAAATTAATTTCAAGTTCCCCAAATCTCAAACCTATAAAAACAATCATTCAGAATGACAGCTCCATGTGAGTTTGGTACTGCCTATAATACCACAACTGTGCTTAGTCGCTCAGTCGTGCCCGATTCTTTGTCACCCCATGGATTGTAGCCCACCAGGCTCCTCTGTTCACGGGAATTCTCCGGGCAAGAATACTGGAGTGGGCTGCCATGCCCTCCTCGAGGCGATCTTCCCAACCCAGGGATCGAATCCAGGTCTCCCCACATTGCAGGCAGATTCCGTCTAAGCCACCAGGGAAGCCCAATACCACAACTAAATCAATTCAAATTTCCAAAATAAGTTATAAGAATCTCACTAAACCTATTCTTAAGGTACCGTCCTCCAAAGCGCAATTCATAGATGAAAATACAATATTAATGAACTTAGTGTGACACTTTCCTAAGTCTAGCCACTAGGGTTAGCATACGTTAGTGAAGTGAAAGTCGCTCAGTCACTTCCGACTCTTTGAGACCCCAAGGACTTAGGCCTGCCAGGCTCCTCTGTCCATGGAATTCTCCAGGCAAGAATACTGGTGTGGGTATCCTATCCTTTCTCCAGGGGATTTTCCCGACCAAGGAATAGAACCAGGTCTCCTGCATTGCAGGTGGATTCTTTACCAGCTGAGCCACCAGGGAAGCCCATCATATGTTAACTTGATATTAAATCTTGTAAATGAAAACAAAATTATTTTAAAATAAGGTTCTGATAAGTCATGTTTCACTATATTATCAGGTTTCAATAATGCCTGAAGAGCACACCAATGCAGTCATAATTTTTAATTTCCCTGAAAGGATCAGTGAATTTTACAACCACACAAAATACTGTGATATGACACACAACAGAACTAACCAGTGGGTCTTTATGAGAACCAGAAGATCGCTTCTTCATTCCATAAGAGTGACTGTAAGAATGACTCTAGAAGCAAATATTGAAGTTAACTTTAAAGATTGGATAGTGAAGTTTTAAGATAATTTAATAAAATCATCTTAACGTCATACACAGAAAAATGCCCACAGGGGACACAGAGCACTCCACACGCATGCAGTCCACTCCCCACCTGTGAGCGGGAAACGCTCAGACACACAGCCTGCCTGCACCCCAGCGCTCCCCTCATCTCCTCTGTGCCGTCCAGCACAGTGCCGAGTCAACTGAAAACTTAATTAGGCTCTAAGTGGGGACCTTCACTCCACACCTCATTTGAGTCTCTGCTCCCTTAAAAGGGTATGAGTGACAAGACAGGCCACTTCCTTTTGCAGTCCTCCTTACCTAAAGGCCAAAGAGCAATCTTGTGTGCCCAGCAAAGCAGGATGAGAACAGAAAACACTGCACTGCCGGAGACAGTCCTCTTAACCCGAGTTACTGGGCCACAGCGCGTGCTGCTCAGAGGAGAGCAGCCTGCACAGCGTGGCCTGTCTCAAGTAGCAGCAGTGCCATTAGATAATAACCTGACCTCCAAGTCCTCTGAGACAGCACTGTCTAATACATACCTCTAGGAGTCAGAGCCAAGTGCATGTGAGGGGACAGGGGACAGCAATACTACTGAACAGGAAGGACAACTGGCAGATAAGGAGTCCATGTGGGTATGCGCCTTTGGTCTGAAAGGAGGAGATACGGCCAGAAGGGCCCTAGCTATCAACAGCCTGCTCTGCACACATCACCTGAAACATGCACAGCTAGATCCTGAATCAGTGACTCATTTTCCTTTTTTTTTTAAGTGCATATCTTAAAAAAAATAAATAAAGTGCATATCTTTCTTTTAGACATTGTTACTCTGAACATAAGAGCTGTGGCAACCTATGGGCACATGAACCCAAGAAAAATACACTACAAGTAAACTTCCTTGGCCAAAATGACATGCCATCAAAGATAAACCAAATCAAGCAAAAAATGAGTGGACAGAACTGATGTTTCAGTTGTCACCTGAATCCTTTCACAGCTGCTGGCTTGTGAGACAAAACATAAAACATAGCAGGTGTAGCTGTAAAACACGCCGCTGTAGTTCAGTACATCTCAAAATACCGCTGGAAGCATGTCTTCCAGGGAATGAGTATGTGTCAGCTGGGTGACTCACCATTTTAAGAAAAGATACTACTACCAATCTTAGTCCTGAATAGGAAAGCAAAAAATTTTATCTGATCCTGAGATCCTAAAAGGCAAAGCTATTCAAGTGCTAAATCATGTCACAATTGCACACTAGAATTTGCTGTTAGTCATATATTCCTCCAAACATAACAACAGACCTGTGAAAAAGTTAAACATAATCTAGGATTAGCATCACCAATTGTTTATAAAGTGAAACTACATTTAACACAAAGTCATGCAATACGTACTAATGATGGAAGTCTTGATGATCTATCCTTAAGAGCACCATACTGGATTTCAGGAAAAGGTGAAAGTTGGTTTTATTTGCAAAATCAGAAATATAAAAGGGGAGGGAAGCAACATTTATAAAGTTATGAAAAATCCAGCACTACTTTAAAAGCCCCAAATTATTAAACATAACAGTTGTGACATCTGAATTAAAGAATACTCTCCCCCCTCATTCTTTCCTAGTATAGGTTATTATTAAACTATATGTACAGGAAAAACTGCATGTTCTCATTCAAAACCAGAATGTATAATCAGTAATGTTCAGGTGATTCACCCCAGTACACTACAGCACAAAACACCCAAGGAAGCCTTTAGACGCAGGCATTAAGCACCCTAAAGGTCTGTGACCATCATTGTCCATCATGTGAAACGTGGCAAAAGCAAGTCATGGAGAAGCAATGAAGCAGGAACACATAGCTAGTATAACGAAACTTACCAAAAAAGCAACAAACAAAAAACCAAAAGACAAAAAACAACTGCAGCATTAAAATGGGGAGAGTTCCCTTGGATCTGCTTATGCACACACTTGGAAAACAACCCTTCTCAAGAACTCTCCCTATGAAACATAGTGAACAAAGCTAGAAACTTGGTGAGAGCAAAGTGTGGAATGGATAGCATACATATAAAAGTGGCATGAAATATAAATCAAAGAAAACAGGTATAAAATTTATGACAAGACCAGAAAAATCATATTCCCTGTAGGGTCTTTAAGAAAGTAATACGTTTAGCGCCACATGTCGAATTCAAGAAACCAAATTAAATAGTAACTAACTACTCAGATTTGTGCTTTCCTAATTTTTTAAGCATTCTAGTCAGACTTTTTAAGCAATCTTGCCCAGAAGAGCAATGTATAAAGCAAAAGCAATGAATAAGCTCCTCAGGTAGTTTGGTAAAAATATTTTTCTTTTGCAACTCTTATACCCATTTAGGATCTTAGGGAACACTATTCAGAAACCTGATCTAAAGTAATGTTTTTCTAAATGTGGACTGCAACTCATTAGTAGTTCATAAAGTCAATTTATGGGTGCAACCAACGTTGAGAAAATACAAAATACTAGAGTAGATCATGTACAGTATGTATTATTTTTGTAAAATTTGTTTCTGTATTTTTTATATACTTCTATACATACAAAAACAGGCACATCTCTGGGTATGTATATTGGATTATAGTGTAAAATGTATTCCTGTCATACAGGCTGCAATTTTAAAAAGCCTAAAATACACTAGAAGATAAAATTTAAAAGTGTAGTTCTAATAAAGCATTAAAATAATATTTCAGACAGAACAAAGGTTTCAATTCATGCTTAATGAGATGATCATTCACAAAAAATATTGCAGAAACTCCCCAAAATGTATTTCATAAGTATAAGGCTAAGTGGTGTAATTTTACCACTGGCAAAATTAAATTCGGTAAAAATGATATTGCAATAAATACTAACAGGTACTGAAGCAAAATATCTGCATTTGCATACTTTCCTTATATTATCATGAAAACAGAATATAAAGTGTTACTACCATGTGTAGAAAAAATCTTGTTTATCCAAAATTTTCTAAAATGCCTAATGGTGTGCATTTGGTGGTAAATAATGCGCGTGGTCAAGTCACTGTGGTGAATGACATTTCACTGAAAATAAAGTTCCCTCTCTATGAAAGTTTCATCTGAGACTTCTCTCAGTTAACAAAATATCTTTTTTGTTTAAAAAAAAAAAAAAAAAAGCCCATGACCAAAACATGTATTACTCAAATCACACTTTTCTGCATATAAACTATTCCATCCTCCAAAACAGGTAAGTTCATTGAAGGAATCAGTCTTAGTTCTCATCCTCTCTGTAACATCTGATCTTCTGCAAAAGCATAAGATTTAACAAGTTGAACTGAAAATGATCTATTTTGATTTTTTTTCCAAAATATAATGCAGAGCTCAGATAGTTTTATCATATTTATCCATTCATTCAGCTGCGCTGTGAGGCTTGCAGGATCTTAGTTCCTTGACCAGGGATGAAATCAGGGCCCCAGCATTGGAAGAGTGGAGTTCTAACCACTGGACCGCCAGGGAATTCCCTCAGTTTTAAAAACTGCTGAATCTGATAGGAAAATCCACAACTTGGACATCCCAATCACTACCACTGGTTGTAAACCCGGTGAACAAAAAGGATCCTCCAGTATGTGACAGTTGGTATTTAAGTTGTTTAAAGACAAATGATTCATCAAAGAAGGGAGAACTGAAAATATTAAAAGCTCTAGCTAAACAAAATATTTCCAAACTTGCTATTATAAAAAGTATTAAAAAGCAGGCTACAGAAACAAAAGTTCGGCAAGTGTCTGTTTCTGTGGGAATGGATCTATTGCTCAAGTCCCAGGGGCGCTGTGAGTCAACAGTGAATGCACAGTACTAACGCTGCACATTTCTCTGGGCTACACGCCACGAGGTCTTCACTTCTGGGTGTACGGGCTCGGCTCCAATGTGTCCCTGTAACGTCCTTCAATGGGTTCTTCCACGGAATTAAACAGTGTAGGAGTAAATGACAGAATAAAAAATTCCAAGCATATTAAAATTAAATTCATTAAAATTATACTAAAGCCACTGATACATAAATAGGAACTAATAAAAAACTGTAAAGCTCTCCACCAGTGAAAACTGTGATGTATCCCTACCACTCTGATTCAAGATCACCTCATTTTCTAATTTTGGATCTCTTCCTTATAGTCTTCTTATATTTCAATATATAAAAGCATGACCAAGCAGTCAGTCAGATTTTTTTTTTTTTAAGGTAGATTGCTTTTTAAAGAAACACTGTTTCAATTCTAAACTCAGGGCTTTGATTTAATCTTCCTTCCCCAAACCTACCATCTTGAACTATCTCTGCTCTATTTTTATACAGAATGTCTATAGCATTGATACCATCTCTAGCCCCACATAGCTTCAGGCAGGACACCTTTCAAAGAAAGCAGTTAAGTGGACAAAAGGAGAGATCAAAGTTCAAAGAATGTGGCATAAAACCATAAACACATCTTCCTCATATCCAAGTACTGCTGATGTTCATGTACCAAATACAATGTCCAAAAGTCTTAGACTTTTTAATATACAGCTCATAAGTTTAAAAAAAAAACTGGAAAAGAAATACCAAACCCCCAAATAATGCAGCAAACCCCAATAAAATTTAGGTCAGGGTTTTAAGCCATAACATATATTTTTACAGAGAACACGAGGTATCTACATTTTTGGTATAATGTAGATGGTAAAGTTATTCTAAAAAGCAATAATCTGATGAAAATTTAAAACTCCCCAAATTATCAAGTTAGAAAAAAGAAAGAAACTATATTTCTTTTATACTGTGTTATTAGTAAGCTTTCATTTCAAATCAGACATTTCTAAGAAAGTCTAAAAACTTAAATATTCTAAATGTACACTCACAGTAGAACTGAAGTCTCTCTACAAGGTGAAAATTTTACTAATCTTGAAGTTCACAGACTGCTTTTTAAAAATATTAGGAGTTTTACTTTTTGCTACATAATAGCAAATTTTCATAACTACCATAATGAAATAAAATACTGAGTTCTAGTTATATCTTAAATTTATTTAATGATGTAACTTCCATGAAATGAAAATCAATCTCATTTTATAGACGCTGAGTAAACAATTCCTTATTTAACTGCAGATTTATTTTTTGTTTACAGATTTGTTTTAAAAACAAATTAGGTTGAACTTGGATGGCTTTATCATTAGGTTAAACTAATATATAAGTTTCCCATGCAAATTTACAAATAACCAGCTGAAGACTGTGAACTTCACACTATGAACATTATAAGAAGTCATATATTTTTTAAGAAGAGGTGAGATGGGATTATTTTCAAAGCCCTCCAAGCTCAACTTTTAAGTTTTTGTTAACTCCCTGTGAGAAAAAAAAGCACCAAAATCTCTCCAGGGAGAAACATGACAAATTTATTATCTTAAAGCTCTTTTCCTTTAAAATCATTCTTAAACCACTAGTTAGATTTCTATAAAGGCTTTTTAATATTCTTATAAATCTAAACTTTTATAATCAACCAAAATATTTATGATTAAAGTACTAGCTTACTAATTTATTTCAAAAAGACAGTAGATTACATTCACCAATAGGAAATATAACCATTCCTGGGAACAACTGTACGTTCAGAAAACATCATCTCGCCTGCCATTCAATTTAGTGCATATGCATGTGCAAAATTTATGGGAAAAGCTGCACTTAGCCAATATGCAACAGATTTTAACAAAAGGAAAAGTATCTAAAAAATAAAATATGGTCTTAAGAATGTAAGTGAATTAAAAAAAAAAAAAGAAATATAACCAGAGTAAAAGACTATTTAAGAATGCAAACATATCAATAACTAGTATACCAGAACACACTCAGTTTAATACAGTGTATTTTCAAGATAGGAAAAAAATACAAGATAGGAACATTATACAAGATAGGAAGAAAACTAGACCTGGCGATATTAACAAATACAGATCTTAACAAGAATAGAATTTTACTGATGAAAAAATCTAGATATAAGCACATATATACTATATTAACAATGTGCAAATTAAAAGTGTTGCTCTAAGACTTAAAGCACAATTCATTAAGAATAGAGATCAGCTTTTTTGGCACAATATGCAAGCCTTTAATGAGCAATTTCTCATTTTATTTTGATTTACAATGATGTACACTAAAAACTTGAGACAAACTACAAAATATTAATCAAAATATTGAAGCATGATCATTTCTATAAATATGGTAAGACAGGCATTTTGAAAATCAGAAGTTCAATTTTTCCAGTGAATAAAACTATAATTAGTCACCCATGCCCCCAAATAATAAATTTTATTTTAAAAAATGATCATTTAAAAAAATCTGAAAGTAGGAAAAATCTGAAAGTTAGAACCATGCAGGTGTTATTTTATAAAATCAATCTTATTTTGTGATGATTTTCCAAAATCAAAAGTCCTTTTATAGAAAAAAAGTAAATATACATGTTAATAGATGAAAATATTTGTGATTTTAGGATTTACTTATAGCAATAATTTGAGAGAAAATATCACTTTCCAATGAAAAGAACTTTGCCAATATTTTCTCTTTTTTTCTTTTAGAAAGGGATAGCTTTGCTATTAGGGTGTAAACAACTTAAAATACCAACCCTGTGACTGCCAAGACTTCGAATGGACAGTGCATCCTCAACTCCCTGATAAGATAAAAACAAACAGTAAAGGTGTGTGAGTGACTGCAGCAAGCTGCTGAGGAAAGGTATCAGAGGCAAGTCTGCAGGTGATTACAAACCGGAGAAGGACGATGATGGCTGGATCTGGGGGAATGCCTGGCCCTTTCCGACTCTTCCTGGGGGAGGAGAAAGCACAGGGACAGTTAATCGCGGAGCATCCGTCTATCAGAACTGAGCACGGAGGTGAGTTTCCTCAGAGCCGAGGCTGGGGCAGTCACGACCCTCAGCTGGAAGGGACGTAGAAGTCATCTTAGCAATGTTTTCATTTGAACAAGTGTATGTACGTCTGGCCATTTGTAGAATGTACTCTATATATTGTACTCTATAGAATGTACTCTATATTGACCAAGAGAGCACAATATACCAAGATAAAAATAAGTAAGAATACTTAACCAACAGAAATTGAGGTCAGCATTAAAAGCAGACTTTGATCTATTTATGAGGTTAGTTTATGCAAGGCAGGAAGAAATGTTTATTATAGATGTAGTTTACGGTGAAAATGTATTCTTTTAAAAAGGTCTGGGTTATAATTTTGTGCTCATTGCAAAAAAATTTTTTTCTTTTACCACTCTAACTGGGAAAGTAAAGAACAACTAAATGAAATAGCCCCTAACTGTGTATAGTTAATATGAAAAACTACTTATAATTAGGGGAAACTGAGTAAATACTTTAGAGCTGATAAAGTTGCTTCAGAAGTTATGCCTTATGAAGACTGTGAAAACAAAACACACCAAAAATCCAATTAACTAAAAGTAATACTAATTTTTTCCATATTCAGCTATTAGCACTGTGGCATTAAGTACTAAGTCATGTGAAATTAAATGACTAGTCCTTAGAACCTTATCAACTGTAAGAAACTTCTGATCTTTCAGAATTTCAAAGTTTGGAGTGTCAATTCGCATTGACTAAGAATCTACACACAACTGGCCAACTGGGTTCACAGCGCTTTTCCCAAAACGCACCAAAACCTCAACACCCCATGACAATGCAGCATGATCATCATGCAGATGGAATAATTAGATATGGCTATGCTGATCATTCATCGTGAATCCAGCAACAGTAATTCAACAGAAACACCATAATTTAATGCTTTGTTTTGGTCATGATCTTTGAGTACAATTCCAAAAAACGCCTGGTTGTCATCTGTCGTGTACATTGATGCAATTGATCAAATCTGTTCAGAAGTCTGTTTATATGTATCAGGATGATTCAATAATTCAATATTCAACATGGTGTTCTGATCTTTAAGAATTCATCACTGATTCACAGTTTTGTTATGTAATAGATACATGTAATCTGTGAGAAGCCAAGCAAGTTTCTTTCCTCTCTGTGACTATCAGGTGATGTATCACAAAACTTTGGGGGGCATGAGTGTTAGCCCAGCAGGGTAGGTACAGCTTACTAAGTGGTAACAAGTTCTAGGCTAGTTAGCTTTGTTAGTTTAAGTTAATTCCATGTGCCCGCTCCTAGTGTTATTTGGGGTACCAGGGTGACATATCAAGACAAGGTTTAATGTTCAGTCTTCTCTTTATTCTATCCTTTCTTTTCATTCCACCTACCACACAGGAGCACTTTTAAAAACCTGCCTCTAAAGAGTACATCCCATTAAACATGCGGCAAAGACAGATGAATTCATATTTATCCTTAATTATGCCTATTATAAAAATAACTCTAAATAACAACACAGTAAGTATTGGAGTATCTCTAGATTTACACAGCTTTCTTTTTAGCACCATTTGGAAAAAATGACCTAATGAGTTCAGAAAACTACAGAATAAAATGTAAGCCCATATAGGCTGGGAGAAATTTTTAATATAGGAAGACTTTTCCTTCTAGTAGTCGATAACGTAATTGTTTGTCTATGCATTATTTATTATAAATTTATTAGTAATTCATATTTTACATGTGACAATCACATGCCAACTTCTATGATAAGTTCATAGACAGAAAGCAGCCAGAAAGACAAGGATAAGAAGAGGAAAAATCAGTTTGAAAGAAGTGCCAGAAGGGGTTGGAATGTTAATTATTCTATCTGAAACTAAACCCCACCTTCTCTGCCTGCCAAATCCTACCCATTATTTAAGACTCGGACACCTGCATTTTAAACCCTAACCCAAACTGCTCCTTTTGACGTAAGAATTAAATATTAGACTTTTAACATAGGCTTTTCTTATTTAATGCTTTGATCTGCCCTAAGATATTAAAATCCTAGGCAATTTAATTTGAGAATTATAATACATAATCATGAGAAATTAATATTTCCATTTTTGCAATTAAGAATTATTTCTCTTAACTCATGCAAAAATATTCTTAAGACATTATCAGTAATATTAAGCCAGTTACATGCAGAAGACACTTGAATAAAAAAATAAGCTAGCTTTAATAACAAGAAAGGACAGATTCCACTCCAAAATAACAAACACATACATGAGGAGTTGCTTAATTTTTAAGTAACCAAACATGTTTTTTCTCTCTTTTCTAAAATATCGCAATGAGAAGTATGATGAAGCTTTAAAATTTGTAGGTAAATACAATCGTAAATATTTAAATTCTAGTTATACCTTAAAATGCTATTCTAGAAGGGATTTGCTTATGAAAGTTGCTTGTTAAGCAGCAATTAAACAGTGGTTCTTAACCTCTTAGGGATCACAGACTCCTTTTGAGAATCTGATGATAAAAATTCCTGTGGCCATTTCACATGAAAACATACACACACTCAAAACCTGGCATGAGATGTTCTTACCCCATCCCTCAAGCCTATTCACACACCAAGCTAAGAACCCCTGCAATCAGAGGCAGCTAGGGCACTTGTCAACACTGAAAAAAGCTCAAATTTAGGAATGACTCACAGTAACTCAAACATTACTGGTTGCAATTTGCTCTTGTAGCTAACAAATTTGGGAGTGACAGTGTAAGACTTGAAAGGAAACTGAGAGAACTAACAAAATAAAAGTAATTTTCAGAGGGGATGAAAGAATGATTTGGTTCATCTTTCTATGAAGAACCTGATGATATAGCTTTTTAAAAAAGAGAGAAAGGAAGAAAGGGGCAGGGGAGAAGGTGGGATGGAGAGGGGTAGGCAAATTTTAGGGACAGAAGAACAGATCCACAGAGTGAAAACACATTCATTTACTCAATCTTTCTTGGTCAGGAGCATTTATGAGATGAGCGTGAGGCTGTAACTACAACAAAAATGGCTGGACTCCAAGCACACATTTGGTCCACTACGGGCAGAAGAGACACTCACTGACCTTTAGGTTCAAACATGACAAACACTCCTACTTGGCAAATGATTAGTCAATGTTTTACTTTGAGATTGCATATTTCAGCAACTGATCACAACATGCAGGGCAGGCAATTCTGGCCTACCAGCCACTTCTGAATCTGTCCCCATTTCCGATCAAAGGAATGATGAGAGTGCTACAAATGCAAAAGTTTCACAAACTCAAGTTTCCAACATACTGTCTGCTATGGAAAGTCTTAAATTAATCACATACATTTGTCCTGCAAGGCAATGATTGTTAATTCAAAGTTACACATTCAAAATACACAACATACTAAGCTAAATATGTTCAGTCTGCAGCTAAGAGAACTACAAATAAAACTTAAACCTAATAACTCTATTCTTACAGTTCACTACAATTTTAGGAGTATGAAAGACAACGCATTGTATTGTAACATTTCATCTCAAGCCAAGAACTGCATTCAATATTTGAAGCTATGAGGTAAAAAAAAAAACTGGCAATACATTAACTGCTTTTGGCTTTGTTTTTGAGCTGTGACAATATGGACTCTATATACATCTCTTTAACTCATTAACAGAAAATTCACCACAAACCCCAAAATAAAATGTTTAATATTGCCCTGCAGCTTCATCCCCCCTTTGAACTAAAACATCAGCAATGTTTTTTATGGGAATTTTCAAAGTCAGGTCAATGTCAGAAGGAAAGAGTAAAAAAGAGCATTTGTTTTCTTTTTAAAGCAGCCCAATTTCTGTAAGTCTAGTTAGAAAATTTTTTTTTTTGCTTTTCTCACTGATAATTAGAACAGATGGAAATGTATTAGCTATGCAAAAGTGTAACATAAAACCAATCATAATCCCACCATAGATAAACCAAAGTACTGAGAGTAATCACTTCATTCCAGTAGTTTCTGATCTATATATGGATACTAGTTTTTGTAAAACAAGACTGGAGTCCTAAAAGTGCTACAATTGTGGGTTCTTTTTCCATTTTCTTTTATGAATATTTTCCTCCATTATTAAGTATGCTTACAAACTATAAGGTTGTATGATTTCACAGAGCTTAACTATGTATTTATCGTAATACGGTAAAAATTCTAGGACATTTAGGACTACAGTAAATAATTCTGTCATCTCTAAGCCTTTTTTGGCTATTACAAGGACTTATAACACAACAGTAACTTATGACAAGAGGTATATAGGTGTCTGCTGTTACAATTTCAAACAAATATTGCACTTAACTTGCTGACACAGAATGGCTTGTTAAAACACATACATCAGGTTACTCTATTCCCAGTATTTCAAAAGGAACCAGGTTTACTTCAGAAGGAAACTAGCCACACACTGATCTGGGCCGGGGGGNGGGGGGGGGGGGGGAATAACACAAAATCTGGGTTATTTTCCCCAATTACCTCTTTCTGCTGCCGCTCCAGTTCTCTCATGCGGATATCTCTTGCTTCGGCCCGGGCTGCCCGTTTTGCTGCCAGTCTTGCCTCTGCCTGCAAAATAACAGAAAGACTGAGCTTTATTTAAAAACCAGTGGTTCCAGCACCACCCCTCGAGATCAGCTTGGAGGATAGAGAGTCAAAAAGAGTGGGGACACAGGGTTGTCCACCAGCAGCCTGACGACCTCTTCAGTCTATACCCCCTCACCCCCTCCATAACTCACTTCTTTTTCTAGTCCCAGAGTCTCCTGAAATCTGGGCCTTTATGCACAACTGTCTGACTTGATAAAATACTCAAAACATTTCGCACTGTCCATTGTAGGTTTCTCCAAACTTGCTTTTTCCAGAATTTCTTTCCCCATCAGTTTAATTATACAAATTAGAAGTTGCAGGGCTGGCCCCTATTTCACTGTGAGCATCGCTAATATTCACTCTCCTGTCAATTCTTGACAAACTCTTGGGTTGACTTGACAACCCAAGCTGTCAACTCTTGGGTTGAGTTTCCCTCTAACCCATCTCGCTTTCTTTATGCTCACTATTCATGCTTATTTCAGGAACTCTTCCTCTTTTTCTCTCTGCGATAATTGACAAGCCACCAGATTCACCACTTAAAAACATACAATTCGGTGGGTTTTTAAGTATATTCACAAAGTCGCACAATTATTACCATCTAATGATACTTTCATCACCCCAAAAGGAAAACCTGTACCCATTAGTCGTAATTTCCCATTACCTAACCCCAGCCCTTGGCAAACATTGGTCTACTCTCTGTCTCTGTGAATCTGCCTCTTCTGGACACAGCATATAAACGAAATCATATAATAAGAACTCTATCTCTTAGACACCGCAACTGCCTCCAAGTCTGTCTACCTGACTCCAGACTCGACTCTACAATTCATCATCTATGTGGTCACATGACTGCCAGCCTGCCTTACAAAACACATTTCTGATCAAATCAATCATTCTGCTCTGTAAAATACTCTAGGGGCTCCCCCTTACTCATCATTAAAGCAAAAATTCCATAGACCAGCACAAAGAGGGAGAAGGCAATGGCACCCCACTCCAGTACTCTTGCCTGGAAAATCCCACGGACAGAGGAGCCTGGTAGGCTGCAGTCCATGGGGTCGCTAAGAGTCAGACACGATTGAGTGACTTCTCTTTCACTTTTCCTTTCATGCACTGGAGAAGGAAATGGCAGCCCACTCCAGTGTTCCTGCCTGGAGAATCCCAGGGACGGGGGAGCCTGGTGGGCTGCCGCCTAAGGGGTCGCACAGAGTCGGACACGACTGAAGCGACTTAGCTGCAGCAGCAGCACAAAGAGAAGACAGGAGACGAAGAGCAAACACAGAGATGAGGTTTCTCCCAGTCAGTTCCCTGCCTTTTCCCCCAGTTGGCCCTAGCTTCACCAGCTGCGCCCACCCACCTCCATTCCTGGGCTCCGTCTCCTGGGCTGGGGGGTTCAGCCTCTCTGCACAGAAGACGTTTGCTGGCAGGAGGTATTCTCCCTTCTCTCTCAGTCAGCAACCACACTACTTTCTATTAAGAGTTCCTCCAGCCCCTCTGTCACAGAGAACGCCCTACGCACATGTCCCTACTGTGACTTCCTACACTGTGTTAAATATATTATATGGTATTAAAATTACACGCTTTTGTCACCCTGTAACTTTCATGCCTCGGTGTCTGCTAAACAAACAAGAGATTTCCAGGCCATGGGCCGGTCTATCAAGGAAATGAGACAACAAAACAGCTTGATGTACCATACGAAACTAAAAAAATCTCTGTGGTTTCTCTGGGAGTGCTTTCCTGGGTTCTTGGCTGGATTGTAACTCTGATTCAGAGTCCTCCTCTGATAAGGACAGTAGCTGCTGCTTCTCTTGTTTTGATAATATTTGTGCCCAAGTCTCACCGCAGGAGGGCTTCCTAGCTGGCACAACGGTAAAGAATCCACCTGCCAATGCAGGAGACAGAGAGACGTGGGTTCCATCCTCGGGTCAGGAAGATCCCCTGGAGTAGGGGCAAGAATGCTGGAGTACAAGGGAGATCCCACGGACAGAGGGGCCCGGCGGGCTACGGACATGGGGTCACAACTGAGCAACCAAGCCTGCAGGCACTCTCAGACTAAGAAGAGACTCAGCCAAGGCTTAGAAGGATCTCCTGTGTGTAAGCACTATACCGAGTGCAAAAAATACAGAGTAGGACATGCCATTTCTGCCTAAAGACTTCACAGTCTAGCCGAGAGAGAGAAACACACTGCTTAAAGGAAGGATGCCTGCAGGAAGGGGCAATGGGTTTTGCCAGGCAAGGTCACAGTAGGCCTCTAAGAAGCATAGACAGTGTAAGAATTACTAGTTATTCAACTATCTCAAGTTTGGCATTTTCCTAGTCAGTTTTATATGTGTTTTAGTAGCAAAAACCCTGCAAAGTGAATTGCAATCTACCATCCTTACACTCTCACACCATCATCTCCAGAGCACTTAGTTTTCTCACATGAATTTTCCAATGGCCTCTATCTTTAAAACACCTACACTCAGACTTCCCTGGTGGTCCAGTGGATAGGAACTCACGGGGCAATGCAGGGGACATGGGTTCAGGCCCTGGTCAGGGAAGATTCCACATGCTGCGGGGAAATTACACCCAGGCACCACGGCTACTGAAGGCTGCACGCCTAGAGCTGATGCTCCACAAGAGAAGCCACTGCAGTGAGAAGCCCTCGCGCCGTAACGAGGAGCACCAGCTCCCTGCAGCTAGAGAGAGCCCACTCAGTAACGAAGTGACCCAGCGCGGCCAAATAATTAAGTAGTTAGTTTAAAAATACACCTACACTCTCCACCTTCTTTCCCCCTCTATGAATGATCACCATGTTCTTACCAGAATGTGTATTTTACAGAAAAAGACTTCAAGGCTAAGTTATGCCTCAGCACATAATAAATACATCTACACTTGCAGCCTACCTTAGAAATTTATCAAGAATGCTGATTTAATCCTTCTGATATCTGTGGCCAATTCTGCACAATCTATTCTAAAATGGGAGTTCTCTAACCAAACGGAATTATAGGTAATTGAAATTTATTCTCTAATAGTACAATTTCTTGCACAACAAAAGGGAAGGGACCTAACTACCATACAACAGAAAGACCACAGGCATCGGGGCCACAAACACAGCTTCCTCTTTGCTGCTCAGCCAACTCTAAGCAAAACTCGGATGTTACCTCCCTTGGAGATAGTATTAAATATAGCAAGCTTTAAGAAGATAAAGAGGTTTCAAAACTACTTTATCTGTTCCTTTCTTATATGTTGCTTCCAGATTCCTGATAGTAGGAATAGCAAGGGGCTAACAACCAATGGTCATTCCAATCTGGTAAGACAAGATGTGTACTCTATTCTTATACTGATACATTTTTACATTTTTTTAAAATTATGAAAGTATGATAACACATTTATAGGAGACTTGGAAAACACAGAACAAAATTACATATAGTTCCACTATATATTACAAGCATTTTAAGTAAACTAAGATTTTTAGTTGGAGTTTCAAAATCAAATTCTCAAAAATTAATAAAATACATAGAAAACTAGAAAGCTATAACAGACCTGAAAAGCACCGTGAACCAATCCAACATAATTAGGATTTATACAATTTTCAGACAACAGCAGAATACAAATTCTATTCAAATTCCCATAGATTATAAACCAGGAGACACTGGAACATATCCAGGGACATAAAACAAGGTGCAAAAATTTCCTGGTCTAAAGGTATTGAAATCATATAGAGTCTGTTCTCTTAATACTGTGGAATTATGTTAGAAATCAATATCAAAAACATTTGAAATTAACCCACATATTTCCAAGTGCCATGTGACATTTACCAAGAGAGCTCTTTGACTCAGCCACTGAAAGCCTCAGCAAAGTTACAAGACAGGAAAAACACAGAGCATGACTGCAAAGAAAGCCTTTAAATGAGAAATTAGTATCAAAATGAGAACTTAATGTCGAAGATACTTTAAAAAACCCATATATATGGAAATTAAATGTCCACTTAAATGATGAGTGTATACAAGAAGTCATAACAAATAAAGTTAGAAAATATGTGTAATAGAATAAAAATGAAAAGACAATTTATCAGAATTTGTTGCATTCTGCTAATGCTGCTCAATGCAACTAAATATAAAGTGAAATTTTAAATAAGGTATGAAAACAAATAATAGATCCTAGCATAAAATTTTGTAAGATTTGAATAAAACCTGTACTTTAGTTAATAATACTGTGAAGTGAAAGTCACTCAGTCGTGTCCAACTCTTTGCGATCCCATGGACTATACAGTCCATGGAATTCTCCAGGCCAGAATACTGGAGTGGGGAGCCTTTCCCTTCTCCAGGGGATCTTCCCAGCCCAGGCAGGCCTCCAGCGCTGCAGGTGGACTCTTTACCAGCTGAGCCGTAAGGGAAGCCCAAATAATACTGTATCATATGTTAATTTCAGGTTTGTTTGTTTACACAGTATTTCTTTATATTTTCAGAACTGGATTAGAAATTTCAAGTCTCATTCAAAATTTTTTAAAAACTCACTAAGATAATAAGCTTTCTAGACTTTGACCCATAATACTAGATATACTGATATATGTTTAAACAGTCAAATTATAGGTACACAAACCACACTTCAAAGGAGCAACACCAGCACCTTCCCCTCAGGATACAATTGTGTCAAAGAGCTACCACAGATGAGTCTTAATCCACTCTCACAGATACAAAATAAAAAAGATAAAACAATAAAGGACCACAAGGATTGAACTAAGTTCAAAACAAAGGTTGGTTAATAAAAATTAAACATAGAATCACCACTTGACCCTATAATTCCACTTCTGGGTACATACACAAAAGAACTGAACGTAAAGACTCAAACAGATATTCATACACCAAATGCTCATAGCAATATTACTCGTAAGAGCCAAAAGGTATAACAACCCAAATGTCTGTTGGCAGATGAATGGATAAAGAAAATATACCTACATTTTCCATACAATGGAATATTATGTATCCTTTAAACAGCAGGAAGCT